TATATATATATATATATATATATATATATTCATTTATATGCTCAGTTGTTACATTTTTCTTTATGTGTATAAATATATATATATTCATTCTATATATGTTTTCATCTAGTAAAAGTTACAAATTTGAATAGCCATTGAATTCGCATCTATGCATATGGAGATTGTTTTTTCTCTCTTTTTTTATTTACTAATATAAATATTGGGTAATAGAATATCAAATAATAACCTTTATTTTATGTAAATATAGACTATCAATGCGTTAAAATGCAACATATGGAATTACTATCTAAAATAATGATCAAACAAATAAATATGCGCTGAGCATACGCGCAAACAAAACCTAATTACATATTCAAAGACTTGGGACTACATGAGTGTAGAGCAAGGTTATTTATTTATTTATTTTGTGAAGCTACTTTCTGTTTTGCGCACTCGTAAATACTTTTTGCTGATTATGAAAATTGTGTAGGACGTTTTGTTGATCTTAGTATATAAACAACTTAAGTAATAATTTATGTGTTATTATTAATAGATCGATTTTTGCCATACTCTATCTCTCTTTTTATAGTACAGGTATTTTAGAGTCGAGTAAACTTCTATGGAAATGACAAATCGTGGGGGTTTCAAACAACTCAATACATTGTTTTTTTTTTTTTTTTTTTTTCAATTTTTTTTTTTTTTTTTTTTTTTTTGCAATTTTTTTTTTTTCTTTCTTATATATATAAGCTTAAAAGTCAATAAATAATTGCACTAAATATATAGAAATCAAACAAAAACTGAACACATAAAAAATAATGCAATAAAAAAAAAAACACTTGAAACATTAACAAATGAACATTAAATTGGCTACATTTTGATTTTTGAATGACAAACTGATGAAGATAAGATTTAATTGTTTTTTTTTGTTTTTTTTTTTTTCATTTCCTTTCTTTACCTGGCGAATCACCTGTCTGCGTAATCTTTACTTTTAGCCTGACTCATTATCAATGATAACAAAGCGATTTGCTGCAAAGCGGATGATAAAAGAATGTAGAATGTTTAAGTGAAGTGCAACAATAAATACTTGTACATCAATAAATGACGTATGCATATTGAATGTACTTTTACATTGTATATGCTTTATATACATACAGACATAGACATAGACTCGGATAATACTCTATATCGAAACAGAATTTGCTATCGCTTCATGGATCTGTTACACTAACTCTGAATTCCACTTAATAAATTAAGAATGCAGGGTTTTTAGGGAAGGGGTTCAACATGAGCCACAGCTCCATATCAAATTCATTGCCAAGTTTCTAGTTTCTAGTTTCTATTTGCTAGTCTGAAATTGCAATTTTCATAGCGTCACATTTTAATTGACAAAAACAAAGACAACTTCTACAAATTCGGGGACACTTCGATAATTTAACTGATTGATAATTTATGGTAAAAATTGCAATTTTCTTGTGACATACATCATCAACTTGTGGGAGCAGGGAGCGCGAATGTTTACAGGTGCACTAGGTGGTGATTGGTGCTAATTGTGGATTGGATCGACCGTGGAGGCTTGGCCTGGCCCAGCAGCAACATCAGCAGTAGTAGCAGCAACAGGAGCCGCTTTAATCAAAATCGGAAATCGGCGTACGATTGGAATCCTCGCATCTGTTTCTACTGCTGTTGCGATTCAAATCGATCTGCTTGACGGCGCTCGGCGTATTGGCAGCTGATGAGGACGACGATGATTCATCGCTAGGTCATAAGTCCTGAAAGCGCCGCACATCCTCCCAATAATGTGCGGGTATCTCGAATAGCTTAGCGGGTATATTGTCGCGAAACTCAAACTTCTGAAAGGTCACCTTGGCGGTAACCGTATGGAGCACGGGTATCTCAATCTTAACGGGGAAACCCGTGGGCAGCTTGAGTGTGACAAACTCGCGCAGCTTGTTGATATGCTTGAGCGGTGCCACCACCTCCAGTACGTCCAGCAACATGTCCACGCTAAGCGGAAAATCTGTGCTCATAGCAACCGTTGCCCGCAGCGTTTTGTTTGATTGCTTGTTAACCGGCGCCCGGCCTAGCTGCGGGCATTTTCCCACGGGCGCTTCAATATACTGCGACCAGGTGACCGTCGTGGTGGGCGGCGGTGGCAGCGAGCTGCGACGCGGCAGCTCCGGCAATGTTAGATTGCTGCCATTGGGAGTTGTGGCCGCATTCGAATCCGTATGGTTGCCGCCTTTGGTGATTGTCTCAACGATGGCGCGGTTCTTTTGCAAATCCTCGTGCGACAAGTGCTCACGCCGCTTTCGCTGCTTCAGCACCAGACCCTGAATAGTATAGATCTCGCATTGATATTGCCCGCCTATCAGTTCCTTGCGATTAGCCCTGAACAGCCAGCCACGCTGAGCCCGTGCGAACTGTATTGTTTTCGTGGACATTTGGGTGGCCAAAATGTCGGTGGACATCAGCACATCAACTTCGTCCTCCATGTCGGACTCCTCATAGCGCAATCGCTGATAGCACTGCTGCTCGTTATCCAGCAGCACTAGGGACTCATTTGGCGCCGCCTCGCCACGGAATAGAAACGATATATCGCCACGATCCCAGCGCATGTCATTGAAGTCCACCAACGTTGTGTCTAGGCGCAGGGAGGCACCGCACTTGTACAGACGGCAAATGTCCGAGGGCAGAATGCGAGAGACGAGCGGCAGCCACGACTGAAAGTCCCACTTGAACTCCATGTAAAAGTCCTGCATCTGACGTAGTGCCTCCACGAGACGTTCACGACGGCTCTCCATGTGCTCACGCGACTGCAATTTCAGCATGCGTAGCAGCTGCGTGATGGTTTGCCGATGGCCGTAACTGATGGCCTCGGCCAGCGGTGACCAGCCCTCGTTGTTCTTCACTTTGACGGGCGCATTGTTGGCGAGCAGCAGGCGGACACAGCAGGTGCGCCCCAGCATAACGGCCAGATGCAGGGGCGTATTACCATGTTTATCTTTTTCGGCCACTTCCTTTGCGGCAGTGCTCAATAGCAAGCGACGTTGCAGCGTTCGTATGTCGTTCTCGAAAACGCTGCGATGCATTGGAAACTCGACACAATCATCTGATAGTGGGGAAGGTATGATGGGGGCAGCTGTGGCTGTTGATGTAGCTGTTGTTGCCGTTGCTGTTGTTGTATCGTCATCGTCGTCACCCTCGCCCGCCGATTGATATTCATCCGATTCCGAGTCATCATCGTGCGACACACTGTTTGTTGTCTGTTTTGTGTGTTCTACTTTCTGATTTTTGTCACAGTCGTCCACTTTTTCGTTGGACATATTTTACTCACCGTCTCTTTATCAAACACTCTTTGTATACAGTTTTTTTCATACAAAAATTGGTATTTTGCTACCCAAAATTGCTCTGTTTATTGATTATTATTAGCGATGGACTAAGTGCAGCACTGTGGCCAACATATCGATATCTTATCGATTAACGCAATTTTGCATTTAATGAGTAGAATTACTAAAAGTTGTAAATAAGCTTTCGTTAAATCATAACTACCGATTTCAATGGTAATTTATGCAGCAATTTGCTGCAAAATATGCCGATGTGTTAAGAAAATAATAATTTAAGTCTACTATTCTCCTGCTTTTTTGTGTCATTTAATAGAATATTATTGTCACTATTTGACATTTGTCACATTTTTGCATGCACTGTTAAGAACGGTAAATATGAAGACAGACGAAATGTAAGTAGTCTGTCATGCAGAAACCGCGGCCACCACTAGTGTGACTTGTACACGTAACAGCCGAATTTCATACAGACATTTAATGTTTAGCCTGTAATTTTGTGTTTTAAAAAGTCACAGCTGCGAAATATGTTTTTATTGTGTCTAAATATATATGCACATACATGTAGAACAGCGCTCGGTTTGCTCGCAACGCGACACTGCAGCTGATTGCAACGTGTATGGGTCACTACTGGTAACAAAACAAAAATAAAAGGGAAGAAAAAAAAGTCGAAACACAGCAGGCGATGCGAATCGAAACGGACAACTGCAAACGGCAAAGGCAAGGCAACATGCAATAATAAATTGAGCAAGTTTCATAATCCTCTAAACAATTCTAACCACTAGATAGATAATGTCGAGCGATGAACTGCTGTGGCGTACTAAGTATTCAAGTTCGCGTTATCAACGCCACGAGAGCGCAGAACATCGGACGCCCTTGAATGCCAGCACGTTGCACTGGCAGCGTCAACAATTTGGCTGCGATGTGGACGAACAGTTGCGAAGGCGACTGCAAGCGTCACCGGCTTACATTGACCGTCTCGAGCAGGAGGCGTTGCTGACCGGTCACGATGGCTGTGTCAACTGTCTCGAGTGGACTAACGATGGCCTGCTGTTGGCCTCCGGTTCGGATGATTATAAAGTGATGATATGGGATCCGTTTCGGAAGCGGCGCGTCCATACTATAGACACTAAACATCTGGGAAATATATTTTCCGTCAAATTTCTGCCGCGTCATAACAACAGCATTGTGGCCACCTGTGGCGCTGATAAATATATCTATGTTTATGACATAAATCATGGGGATTCGACGCTGTTCACCTGCAATTGTCATACGATGCGCGCCAAGCGCTTGGCCACTGCGCCAGACTCACCGCATATATTCTGGTCCGCCGGCGAAGATGGCAGCATCCTACAATTGGATATGCGTGAGGCGCATCGCTGTCGCGGCCCCGATGATCAGCAGCAGTCGTCGGGTGGCGTACGACTGCTCAGCCTGTGCACTCAGGTTGAGTCCACAACGGAAGCCAAGTGTCTGGCCATTAATCCAAGACGTACCGAGTACCTGGCCGTGGGTGCCAATGATCCCTATGCACGACTCTTCGATCGACGAATGCTGCCAGGCGAAGGTAATTGCAGATCTGTATCAAGTGCTCAACCAGTATATGAATTTTTCTGTCTACCTTTCAGCAAGCAGCTGTGTGTCCTACTTTGCGCCGGGACAGATTGTACAGAATATCAGTCGCAACATCATCCACGAATCCCGCACCGTTACCTATCTGACTTTCAACAGTTATAACACAACGGAGCTGCTGGTGAACATGGGCTGTGAGCATATCTATCGCTACGATTTACACAATGCCACACCACCAATATTCTACGACCTGCCCGAGTACACAGCAGCGCCACCAGCAGTGCAGGCGGAGCAGGAAGAGGTTTCCGATGCGGCGAACAGTAACGGTGCTAAGCTGGAGATACGAACCAAGAAGGAGCAGAAACGTCGCACATTGCCAGCGAGAATCGAGCGGCACAAGAAACTAGGCAATGAGCAGTTGGAAAATGGAAAATTGCTGGCTGCGATTGATACGTATTCTGCGGCTCTGGCTGAATATCCCCAGGGCGAGGTGCTTTACTTGAATCGGGCTACAGCATTGATGCGCCGTGGCTGGTTTGGCGATATATATGCAGCGCTACGAGATTGCCACGAAGCGTTACGATTGGATCCCACCTACGTGAAGGCGCATTTTCGATTAGCGCGTGCCCTACTCGAGTTGCACCGGCCTAACGAAGCGGACAAGTGCCTGCAGGAGCTAATACAACGGTTTCCCAGCTTCGCCAATAACCATGGTGTGCTCATGCTGCACAAGGACATCAATGAGAATCGTCTGCAGCAGGAGCAGCAGCAATCGCAAGAGATCGGAGCTCATATGTCCGATCACGAGCCCAATTTGATTGAGAGCGGATTACGCTATTTGCGCCTGACCGACGATGACTATGCCCAACGTCGCGCTGCCAAGGACTACAAGCAGCGCTATGTGGGCCACTGCAACACCACCACGGATATTAAGGAGGCCAATTACTTGGGCCTGAATGGCGAGTTCATTGCCGCTGGCTCCGATGATGGCAACTTTTACATCTGGGAGGGCGACACCGCCAAAATTCGAGCCGTCTACCGTGCCGACAGTGCCATTGTTAACTGCGTGCAGCCACATCCGAGCATTTGCATGCTGGCCACCAGTGGCATCGATCACGACATCAAAATCTGGTCGCCGTGTGCGCCGAGCGCCGACGAGCGGCCCAATCTCATCAAGGACGTGACGCGCTACGTTGAGGATAATCAGGAGAAAATGCGCACTGATCCGTTCGAGCCGAATACGCGAAATGCGTATTGTTTTAATAATTAGATTTTAAGCACATCTAGTATAATGTAAATTAATTTTTTAAAATTGAAATTGCAATACAACCTCTGCAATACTTGGCCACACTTCACCGATCATGCCTGCTCTAAAGATATAGTCGAAATATATATATGGAAAACCTGGTGTAATCCGCGCGAAGTGCCATCGATTTTGTTAAATTGTCAATAATATATAAAACGGAATGGAGAAATGTATACATATTTGTATATATATGTGGGAAATATAATAATATGGATATGTCATGTACGAAATCAAAGTAATAAAATTCAAAGAATTGCAACATTTAAATTGATTTGTTTTAGCCAAGTTTACAAGCCATTTGCATTTCAGCCCAATTCCCCAAGTTATCAAGATGGTTATATTTTTATTTTTTGGAATTATTCTGTTTATTTATCGTAGTTATTTAAATCTATGCTCACATGTATACATATACATACATATAAATATTTTACTTTATGTAATAATATTCAAGTATCGTTTTTCTTGTTTTGTTGTTTTTAAATTTTTCATCAAGTTTATGTGTAATCTTTAGAAAACTAAGTAGAATTGATAGCTTTACATGAAAGTTTCTATCTTTATATCGCAAACGGTAAACGTTATTGTTGTTGTTCTGTTGTTACATATATTTTAATGGGATGAAAGTTTAACTATATTTCTTTTCCAAACAAAGTAATGTAATTAAAATATTGCATTCGAAATTTTGAAAATTTATTTGTTATCAATTTGTTTTCTTTCTGTCCTTAAGTGTGTTTGTGTGTGTGTGCGTGAGGAGGGTGAAACGTTGTGGATTTTAGTTAGTGGCTTAAAATCTAACTGAATGTGTTGTAAATATTCGCTGCCGTGCGGATGATCTTTAACTTCCTACTTGCACATTTTTCACATTACATTATGTATATAACTATGTTTCTATATATTTTTAGTTTTTGTTTATTTTTTTTTCATTTATGAGTTTTCTTTTATTTACTTTACAAAAGTGCGTACATTTTCATTCCTTTGTTATGCAGGGTTGTCCATATTTTGCTTTTTATACAGTGTTTTGTGTGTTTTATTTTTAAGAATAGTATATTACAAACTATTTTATGATGAAATTAAAAATACGATTCAAATCAAATTCAATGGGTCGACAGTGTTCATAAATATTGCAAATTTGTGTTTGATCTAGTTAAGGGGGAGGGATATAGGGCGGTGTCAGGGGTCATAAAATCGTAAACGTTACTTTTAAGTTTGAACTATTCGTAAATTTGTCAACTTTGTGTGCTTATGGGTGTGCATTGAGTTTTGAAATGAACTTTGTGTCTCTGTATATCTCAAATGTTGTTGTTTTTCTTGTTGTTTAGCTATGTTCCACTATTTTTTTTTTTCGTTCTGTTGTTGGAATTTTGTTTTCTTGCTTGCGTATATAAGTTTCTTATAGTGTTTATATTTTGTTTATTTGTTTAAATACCATCAACCCTCCCGCTTTATAGAACTAGGTGTCTCTGCAAGACCTTTCACTTTAAGTCGATCAGCCGTTTTTAGAAATGCTGGCAGCTGTTCTTGCGATACATTCACTTCACCGGCATACATAAACTCGAGTATTGCCTGCAGGTGTATGTAGGACACATCTTTCAGTATGATGATTGGATGCTTTGAGGGATTTTCCTGCAAATCAAAAGTAATTATATGAAATTATAAGTGGAATCATATATTGAAATATGACTTACCTCTAATAGCGCCTTGAAATAGGGACTGCAAGCTGAAAGCACCATTTTATGTGCCTTGCAAGTTTGGCCTTCGCAGGCAAGTGTTACCTGAACAGAAAACGGAGTAAAGTTTAGTAAAGAATACAATCAAATAATACGCATAAAATAGGAACAGAATAAGAAGAATGATGTATGATGAAGTATAAATGAACTCTTGTTAGTCATTTCAGTATTATAGTGAGATAGATTGGTGGATTGCTTGGCTTTTGATAAATGAAGTGGTTAATGTAGTAGGAGATATTTCAAAAAGTCAAAACTTACATCTGTGAAACTCTTCTCATCACGCAAGTGACGGAACGAGGTCACCATATTCGTTTGAAAATCGTTCCATTTTAGAAAAAACTGTTGGTCCGACGACATCATGTAGAAGCTTTTGTATTATTTATAGGTTGTTGTTTTTTTGTTATAGCCTGGAGAGCGTTTGAAGAAAACGCGCGCTCAGAGTTCTGATACACAGGCAGGAGAAATACAATTTAGACGTACGGCCAAAAGACTTTAGTAAACTATCTCTTAGCTTCACTGATGATCTTAAAGGTTCTCCTTGAGTTCTGCAAATAAAAAACAAACAACGTTAATGGTATGGTACAAAAAATATATATGTATATATAAACAAAACGTGACTTTTAATAGCTCGCGAATACAAAATAAGCACAAACTTGGCGAAATTTCACACAGTTCGCATCGAGTGTGACCGTCGTGAGAGCACCGAGCGCCGAGCCAAACTTGCAAATTGCGAAAGAGTAGGCAGCCGCGCTGACGCTGTCGCTGTCGTCTACACTATCGCTGGCGACGTCTTAAGCGTTGCACAACGACAACGACAACGCCAACTGACGAAGACGACGATCCACAGCCAAAAACATTCTATATACAATAGCAAAAAGTATTTTGCGCAGACGCAATGTGCAGTTACCGGGCATGGAATGTACTGAGCGTGTGTGTTGGAAAATGTCAAATGTGCAAAGTTGGCCCGCAGTAACACAAGTAACAAATAAGAAAAAAAGGAATAACAACAAAAGAGCGACAAAGGTTAAACAAAATATCAAAGACTCGCTTACTTGAGCGCGCTCACACTGAATGCCTTTCACTTTTCAAGGCAATTTCTGCATTTTAGTCATTTGCGTTGCTTATTTGAAATATTTTTTTTGCTCTCGCACAGTGTGCATGATATGTACATATATATTTATATACATATGTATGTTATGTGAATATAAGAATATTTTAAATATATACACACAAGTCAGCTGTTCCTTTATTGTGTATGCAAACGTTGACATTTTTGAAACAATTTTATTGAAATTAAATTATTTTCGAAATAAGATAAGTAACTTTACTACGGTCAACGCTCCACTGTGCAGACAACATGTGTTGTGCTGTTGCGACAGTCGCTGGGACCAGCTTGTCGACACTTCCATATGCGCTACACTTGCGCCGGCTCTGTGTGGGCGGCCTGAGATCGCAGCAAAGTAGCGCGTACAAACTTCGTCTAAGTATAAGCTTTACAGCAAAGGCAAAGGCTCACACATACTTGTAAATATACATATATACACAAACTCAGCACACACATACACTTGGTTAGGCGCTCTCAACTTTCAACTGCCGTTATGATTTCGCAATTACATTACAACAGCAACCATAACAACAACAACACAGCGACAGCAAAGACGGCGAGGGTAGACATTTGTTGGAAATTTCAATTGCATTTGTGTGCGTGCATTTTTAAAAATGCAACTGTCTCTCTCACTTGCACTAGTTTAGAAGCAGTTAAGCAGCGCGGCAGCAATAAGATAAGTTGTTGCTGTTGACTGATGTTGAAATTGTCTAATTTGTATTACTATTGGTCGGCGGAGTATTGATTTTTCCCCCTTTCTGTTTACACACGAATAGTCAGAAAAAACACCCACAATCGCATGCATATGTTTATTTCTTCATTAAGAAAAAATACCAGTTTTGAAACTGAGAAAAGACAACAGAGAAGAGTGAAAGAGCGAAAGAGTGACGGCAGCCACAATAATTTGAAACGAGTTCGAACGAAAGTTGCAACACTCACAAAATTGATGAGCCGCCGCTCTCGCAAATGTTGTTGCTGCTGTCTCGTGTATTACTCAACATGGCGCTCACAACAACAATATTTGATGAGGCGAAGGAACGAACGAACTACTCGAAATTCACTGAAGAAGAAATGTGCGAGAGTCGTTGTTGCTGCTGCCTCCTAGACAATGGCGGCGGCAGAGCCAGCGGCAGCAGCGAGGGCAACAGCGGCGGCACACTCAACAACTCTTCGTGGCATGCCACAACAACAAATGTTCGGGTTAATATTGCATTGGTAATTTGAATTTTGCACGTTCTGTTTCTCTGTCATATTTGGATTTGTTTATGCAAATATTATTGTAATATGTAGATGAAAATTAGGTCGCGCTTCGTTTTACTTTAATTCACAGAGCCACTGACATATACACGCACGCACACGCACACGAACGCGATACAGCAAGCGCACACAGTTGCATACACGACACACACATACACTTGTCTTTTTCTACACTTTCCTAATCATTATTTAGGTTGCACTCTGTACTTTTACCAATGTGTATTATGTGCAATTGATTAATGATCATTGCAAATGCATTTTGTATGCGCTCTGTCCACGTTTTTGATTCCTTTTTTGTTTCAATTTAATACATACACGCTTTTTTAGCACGCACTCACTCACCTTCTGTACACGCTCTGCTTTCGCTAATGCTTGCTTTGCTGCTTTCTTTTTTCTCTTTTCCGACGAGTGTTTTTTTGCTTTTTCCAACGCGTTCATCAACACTACTAGCTCTCAGCACACTATTTAACAGCACTGACACTCGACAGTTTTATAGCGGCGAGAGTTAGTTCGCATGCCTTGGCCTTAAAATGTTAAAAACTAGATTTTTAAAGAAATTGAATGAAAATATTTTGTGTGTTTGGAAGAGATTACAAAGCACGACACCAAATGAAAAACAGAGCTTCCGTCAAAGGGCTTGGCATGCGGCACGGCAGCGCTATGTTAACTATGAATACGTACACTACAGCTCTTTCCTCGAGTACTATTTGGGACAGCGAAATAAATTTGACCAAATGAATCAAGCGGTTTTCCCACCACTGGAGGTCATAACTGCCCTGCAAAGTGATTTGGCCTCACCGAATCCTCCACCATACCCGCCCAATTGGATGGATGACTATGAGTTCTATGCTGGTGCAAGCGACGGGACGGGCAACATTGATTCAACACATGGAACTGCCGATGCAACAGTGCCGCCATCAACGGTGCCCTGCAACGGATGTGGAGCTCATTTACACTGTGCGAACACCTCCATGCCCGGCTATATACCCAGCGAAATTTTCAAAGTGATTATACAACAAATTATAATTTGTATTTCACTCTACATCATTTAAATATTTTTAGGGTCGCACAACAACCGAACTACAGACAATTACCTGTCAGCGCTGTCATTTTCTCAAGAACTATAATATCGCGTTAGATGTGGAGGTACCGCCGTCGGCTTATGTGGAAACGATATCACGAATACAAGACAAATATGCTTTGGCAATTATAATTGTCGATTTGCTGGACTTCCCGTGCTCCATTTGGCCGGGCATGCAACAAGTGATTGGAAGCAAGCGTCCAGTTTTCTTAGTGGGCAATAAGGTGGATTTATTGCCGCGTGACTGCAATAGCTATCTAACGCACGTGAAGAGCTGTCTGAAACAACAGTTCATAGAGCACGGTGGCTTCAATGCTCTCAATATTAAAAATGTCAGCCTTATATCGGCCAAGACGGGCTTTGGCATTGAGGAACTCATAACGCAGTTACACAAAGTTTGGGCATACAAAGGCGACGTCTATTTGGTGGGTTGCACCAATGTGGGCAAGAGCTCACTGTTTAACATCTTGTTGAACTCGGATTATTGTCGCACCGAGGCCTCGGAGCTGGTGCGCAAGGCGACGACTTGTGCTTGGCCAGGCACAACTCTGCAAATGCTTAAGTTTCCCATACTGCGACCGTCCGATATACGCATATATCAGCGTTATAAGCGTCTCTTTGCCGAACGGGAACAACGTGCAGCGCTAGAAAAGATCCGTCAGGAGCAGGCAAAGGATACGGGCGCTGTGACATCGGCTCAACTTATTGGAACAGTTGGACGCACCTTTGACAATCGCCTAGAAGTAGATGACGCTTTCGCAATGTCAAGTGGTACGCAACCCATCGTCACACTTAATGAGCGGAAGGCGGAATATCGGGAGGCCCGTTGGGTCTATGACACGCCCGGGGTTATGCAGCCAGATCAATTGACGCCGCTGCTAACGACGCAAGAACTGCTTCACCTGCAGCCAACGAAAATGCTAAAGCCCAGAGCTGTTCGCCTGCCATCCAAAATGTCACTACTTTTGGGTGGCTTGGCCCGTGTGGATTTGCTGGAATGCAATCGGGACTGGGTAAAACTGTTTGTTTTTGCCACCGAAACACTGCCGATTCTGATAGCGGATACATCGGCAGCAGAGCTGGTTTATAAACGATATTTAGGGACGCCGCTGCTGGGTGTGCCCATGTCAAGTGGAGATGAAACGCGCCTGCAACGCTGGCCGGGATTGCAGTGCATGGACAAGGATATTGTTGTCAATAATGGCGCCTTGGATAGCATTGACGATGGCAAACAACTTAATTGTGATATAGTTCTCAGCTCCGCCGGTTGGCTTGGTCTGTTGATGCCAGAAAACTCCGAGTGCATTATGCGTGTGTGGACGCCACAAGCGGCTGGCATATATGTTAGAAAGCCGGCATTAATACCACTGGCCGATCGTTTGGTGGGCAAACACATTCGTCATTCACTTGCATATAATACATCGAAGCCATTTGTTTTCCAAAAATAGTTGTTACTATACCTGTACATCAAACCAAATCAAATTAAAGTGGAATAAATTTATAGTGTTGTGAAACATATAATTTTGCAATTATTGAGGTTGTCCGATAATTAATGTGTTTAGCTAGAATCACATATTGTCACACCGATAAAACGATATTTTTGTGTACCATCTCTAACAAGAAGTATCCACTTTTTCACGGCAACAAAGAATTTGTATGGCATAGAATTTAGTAAATTAACCCACATTAGAGCCATTAAAATGCCATTTAAATAGTGCAACACAACGGAGATAAGTGCAATTTAAAGTTAAAACTGTAATTCAAAATTTACAAACTGCGACGCAGCCTTGAACATCAATTTTTTTATGCTGTAAAAAAAGCCAGGATAATGGAGCAGAACTCCAGCGCTATTTCAACCGAGCAGGACCTGGATGTCAATAATCCAATAGCAACTGCTACTACAGCCGCCTGCAGTAGCAGCGGCAGCGGCAGCGACATCAGTGCCACACATGAATTCCAGACCATGAAACCGGGTGCAGGAAATAAACTGCAACTACAACAACAACAACAGCAGCAGCAGCATATGGGTAATGGACGCACTGAACTGCCACACAGCGAGCTGGTAAAGATGCTTTACTACTTGGAGGGTGAGCTGCAGGCACGGGATGTGTGCATCGCTGCGCTACGCAACGAGCGCGTCAAACATCTGATCACACAGCTGCGCACGAAGCGCGTGCAACCAAATGATCCGTATGCATCGCTATTCCGAGATAAGATTGCCTTAAATGGCAATCTGATATCGCGCGAGTCCTCGACACAGGCCGCCCAAGCCGAGATGGAAGTCCGACAGATCATTGAGCAGCAAATGGAGCAGCAGTATCAGATGGTCAGCAAGCAGCGAGGCACCCATGTGCGCATGGTTAACATATTGACTGAGTCGCTGGAGAACAACCAGCGCATGTTGCAGCAGCTGGAGGAGGAGAGACGCAAGCACGAACACGATACCGCTCAGGGCGATGACATAACCTATGGCCTAGAAATGGAGCGCACAAAGCTGCGTCAACAGTTGGAGGCTGAGCATGCCCAAGTGACCAACCTGGAAAAGGATCTCAAGAAGCTACAGGAGACACTCGAGTATGAGCGTAATAGGCAAAAACAAATTGTGCTGTTGCTCATCGCAGAGCGGAAAAAGATTCTAATGAAGTATATTGAGGAAGGTTAGTAACATCTTAATCGAAATTTAAACGTGCAATATTTATTAAAAAATAAAACGAAAATTTACAGGCAAACGCTCTGAGGATCTAGCTCAAATACTAGCCGAAGAGAAGCAACGCTCGGATACCATTGCCGAGGGTCTCGAGGAGGAGAGCAAAAAGTCGCTGCGAATGGAGGAGGAGCTGGAAAAGCAAACCCAAGCCATGGAACTGGAACGCAAAACCCTGATGTCCAAATTGGCCAAGGAGGAGCTGCGGTAGGTGCTCCATTAACACATTTATCTCATTTTCTAATTGGTATTAAATATCTCTTATGCAGTGTCAAAGAATTGGAACAGGAACTGAATGCACTGCGCACTGAGCACGAGGCCCTGAAGAAACAACATCAACAGCAACAGCAGCTGGTCGCCAGTGGCTCAACGGTGGCTGCCGCCACCAAGGCGCGTCAGTTCAGTGGTGCGTATGGCTCAGCTATGTGGCTGAAATTGTGCTGTTGTAATTATGATTTAACCTTCTTCTGTTTTCTCTGATTTATTTGATTTACGAATAATTCTATATATACTTTTTTTCGTGTCCCTCTCAAAGATGAAATATTTTGTTAGAAAATATCTTACGCAATTTGCAAGGTGATTTGTGTTTTCTCTTTCCTTCTTTTGTACTTGTGATGACAACAGCACCATAAGCCAACTTGCGCATCTGCATCCCTCTAAAAAAAAAAAAAACCCACACACACACGCACACAGAGACACATATACATACACTTAATACACACATCCACAGGGAAAAGAAACGTCACTCAATGCTAAGTTAGTAGATTTAAAGAGATGTATTATAGTTCCCAGACAATATGCGAACCCAGCTGATAGTCGAGTCTATCGGATATACATATATATAATACCTTACAGATCAACCTTAATTTAGTTTCATTTACTATTAAAGCCAGTCTTATGTGCCCTCAAATTGTTGCACACGCTTTTATCACGCTTTTAATTCCAAATAACTTTCACACTTACTGCCCATGCACAGTGGTGCAAATGCCAAATATTTTGACAGAAATTATACAAATAATTCAGTGGTCACGGTATGAGAAAAATGTTAGTATTTTAATCGTTTTGATTTGCCTAATTGAATTAATTTCAAATATATGATATGCAAACGTATTAAATTAAATGATTTTGGTAAAATACTTTAAAAATTTGCAAGGCTTAAAATAAATAGAAGAAATTGATTTTTAACTATCTGAAATAATACTATTAATATACTCACTCATGCATATATATTAAATATAAATAATTTTGTTCTTTTTCGTGAAATATTCGTGCCATTTAGACCACTGTGCAATGCTTAATGATAACCATGTACTGTCAGCAAATCGTATAAAATTCAAATTATATAGACCATAGTTTTTAGGAGATACCATAATCAGGAAAAAAATATAGCACTCAATTGAACTAAGTTTTTAATGTAATTAATAATTATAATTATATACTTTAATGAGTGTAATTTAAACTTAAATTATATAATTATAGTATATAATATAATATAATATAATATTTAGCCGAAATACACGTAGAGGCTTAATAGTATTGAAGATTATTTTAATTGTAGCTATTTTGTGTATATATCAATGTAAACATTTAATTGTACTATAATAATCGATTGTAATAATATTGTTGCAGACGACGCATGTGCCGCGCCCTTGGTAAATATTGCGAAAATAGTTCAACCTACTGCGACAGTGACCAGCATGCCGGTATCGGGCCCTCAGACGGGCATTGCACGCTCCATTGTGCCGGGGCAGAACATACGCAGCGCCGCTGTTACGGGCATTGCCACTGTGCCAACGGGGACCGCTACCGCACCCACGGCCCCTCCAGTCCTGGCCACAGTCAATCACACCAGCAGCATTGTTGCCGCCGCAACGGATGCCAGCGGTGCTGCTATATCCAGTGCGGCTGTAGCAGCTGCGGCTCCACCATCTCCCTCGCCGGCTAAAATGCAGCCGACGGCGACCATACAACGTGCGCCGGGCGGCAAATATGCGGCACTGGCTGCTGCAGCTGCGCTGGATCAGGCCACAATAGCACCGCATCCACACCCTGTACCCATCGCTGTACCACCTGTGACTGTGCCACCAGCCGGTGCACGCGGCGCACCGCCACCCATACCGACGAAGCCAATCGTACCACCCAAGCGAGAGCCATCGCTGTCCCGCTTGGGCTCCATAACGAGCGGCAGTGCTGCTGCAACGGCCATTGCCGCTGCCGCTGCGGCAGCAACGGCTGCTGTCGCGGCCACCGCAACCACAACAACTGCCTCCACGACCAGCGCAGCGGCAGTGGCATCAGCGACCACGGCGAAGCATAATTAGACACCTTCCTAAACGACTTTCGACATACATATATATACGCGCATTATACCATATAGCATATAACAGAAGCGAAAATACTCAAAACCGAATATAGCTCCACATTATAACTGGCCGTAATACTAGTTAAGGGTATCCACGTCTGGAGACATATATATTTATATATATATATATTATTTTTTGATAAATATGCCAAATTCATACAGTCAAAATGCGTGAATTCCCCTTAATTTACTCACTTATATCGTTGAGGTCTTGAACTTTGAAAGTTTTTGCCTCGAGTTTTGTTCAATTTTGTTATTATTTATCGTTTTACAGTTAGCGTTTGCAATTTAGTGATTTTTAAAGGGTTTTAAGCAACAAATAATAGCCAAAGGGCTACAGTGTTTCGTTTGAATATTTCTCGGCTTTCCTTGCTGGATTTGTGTATGTAATTCCGTGTTTAGTCGTTAGTAAATAACATTTGTACAAGGCCGTGCGATTCTCATTATTATTATATATGTATAAATACATATATATATATACATATAAACTATGAACATATAGTAATTATATACCCATATATAGTATACGGAATACTCCATTGTGCTCTGTGCGTTGTTTCTTAGTTCTTAGGTGCGTTACCCTAAATATCCCGTGCAGCTATAAACACAACTATGTATTTAACCGTAGAACACTTTAGGTTTATAATTTCGTTTTAAGTTCGTCATAAGATTTTAATTTGCCTTACGAAACGATGAAGAAAACATAATCCTATAGACTAGCATGTAAAATTGTAATCCTGCTTACAAAAATTCGTCAACAGTTAAGTACCCGAGAATACCCCCATTTAATAATTTTATGTTTCTTAAGTTGCATAGCGGTCAGTTGCTTTCGGCCAAATGAGACAGTCTTAATTAGAGACAATTAGCATTGTTGGTACTTACATTAAATAATAGCAGACAAAAGAGGCACAATTAAATGAATGATTAGCAATGCAATAAACGTTTACAACAAATTACGATTACGATGTATTGAAAAGCGAAAATATAAAATAAACTACACTACAAAAGAAATACATATGTATATATGAAACAGTTAAGCTTCGGGTGCAGTATTCTCAATTATCGTTGCCCTGGACAGATTGCGGGCACATGCTAAACGCATCAGATCCAATATCTCCTCAACATTCTCCACGCGGTAGTCGCTGAACACAGTTTTCGAGGATTGCTGTTCGAGGTGGGCAAAGGCAGAAACTAAGATTAATTAATTACATATATTAAAGAGCTTCGACTTACATTGTTAAACTTGGCAGTGTTCAGTTTGTTGCGTTCGATAATTGGCACCAGCTCCAATTCCAGATGCTGGAGTATAGCAATAGTTTCCTTGGCGAAAATCTTGGGATCTCCAGACTCCAGCAGCGGCAAGGCATCAATCAACAGTGAGGGCCAGAAACTGTAAATGTAATACTAGTTAATCAACAAAAATATCATCAAATTTATAACATCTCTTACTAATCGGGCGTTATTTTTGAGGCTAGCAGATTGACAAGTAGCTCAGCACCAGACAAAAAGTCACGTTCCCGGTAAAATTCATAGAACTCGAAATACTTGGTGAGAAATACCAAACGGGGCGAGACAAACATCCGTGCTCCAATACTTGTTATAACATCTGGGCAGAGCATAACGCCAGTATTAGAATAGTGCTGTGAATGAATGATAATTTAAATTAGTTTTCAAAGAGCAGAAATACCAATTAAAATCATAGATACCTTTAGTATAAAGTCGGCTATGGCTGTAACTAGTAAAACATCTTTGGAGCGCATGGCCCATTCCAGTGCATTGCCATAACGCTGATCGGCATACGCTCGCTTCGATAGAACTTTGCAGATGCTCTGCTCGACATTGACCAGTCCACGTTCCTTGGCCATTGCGATGATCTTGAAGGCTTGCCGCTCGCTCTTCAGTGGAATGCGTGTCAGCAGCAGCTCTATTGCTGCGGATCCCTCCTGCTTGCAGCAGTCTAAATAATCAATGCCCAGCTGCCAGAGTTTGTGCGACGTCATTAAATAGCTGCCGTACTCAAAGATCATTGAGAAACGTAATGAAGGGAGATCACTATTGGATAAAAGGGCCATATTAATAGGTTATATATGTATGTCAGGGTATTCACGGTATTTACATGTGCTGCTGCTCGAAATATGAATTGAGCTGTCCCGAATGGTAGATCAAATCGATGAGATGTGTGGCAAACCAATGACTGTCGCCTAGCTTCTGCGCTTCATAGATGAAGAGTTTGATATCATGCTCCATCAGTTGCATAATCATGCGACTCAGTTGCGTCATCTTCCAGTTGGGGCGAAGCCCGGACCAGCGGTTGATCCAATTGGTGGCTGCAATGCGCAGCTCAAATGGCTTGCAGGCGGGTCGAGTGAAGAGCAGATAGCCGGGTAGAAACTCATACCAGTCCTGAGATTTCACAAGTTCGGCGTCCCAATGCTTGTTGCTGCCCGAAATCAGCTGCATGAGCAGCTCAAGTTGTGGCTCGGTGGCAAACACATGTGCGGCTAATTTTCGCTCCAAGTCTACGTGCCAGTACTCCCATTGGGAGCAAAACTTTTGCATTGCATACCCATCCTGATAAACGGGCATTGACTTGAGCACTTGGTCGGCTGTTTGAAATACAGTCTGATTGAATTTGCGGTGCTGAGAGAGAATGGCTCGTGTCACGTCCAGCTGCCCGAGCATTACGAGTGTTTTCAATGTGTCCCAATAGTTGTCGCATTCGCTGGCTTCTTCGGCCATGAGCAACAGGTCAGTAGCCGAGTCTTCCGTATCGGGAAAATGGAAGCGCGTCCACTCCAACAGTTCGCCCACAATCAGCTGATTGTGCTGCTGCTGTATGTAGAGGACTTCAAACAGATTCCACAAACACTCGATTGCATAGAAAGTATATATTGCTTCCGTGTGGCGCTCTTTGGTGGCCTCATTCTCTTGTACCTCTGGCGATTTCTTAGCGTGTTCCACCTTCTCGAGAAAACAACGGATTATACTGCGATAGGTTCTGGAAATTTTTAGGTAATCTATGGATTTTTTCGCGTCTCCCTTTGGCCCTTGGCTTAACACTTGTAGAGTCGTAAATGCGGCATTCGTTTCAGCAAGTAGACTACGAAGCAGAGGCTCTGTATAAAGCGTCGTCTCTTGAGCCATATAAATCAGTACTGGTTCCTCGCCAGCCGATTCACTTGGCGCGTCGGGTGTGCTCCATTTGACAGGCCGATAGGCACTCAGCGCTATTTTGGAGCCGCCTGGAACAAAACTTGCGGTTAGCGTATTGCCGCAGCGCATGGCAAGTGCGTCGCCGATTTCCTGAAGAATAGAATTATGAATTGGAATACAGTCATATATTTGAAATAGTCTTACGAAATGCGGTATGGTGTCCTCAGTCATTTTAAATAATTCTTATTACAAATTGAAGAAAACAAGCAAACGAGCGCGATTTTATATGCGGCACATGAGCCAGTGTTGATAGGGCCTCGCGTGTAATGCAGTGCTGAGAAGCTTTAGATACTTATCGATTATTTTGAAGGCTAGTATGCTGTGGAATTTCGTAACGGATTTTGTTTGTTATAAATAGGATAAGGTATGTAAGTGCATTGTCAGTTGGGATGAGCTGGAATAAAGTATTTAGTTTGTATTATGTATGTATGTATATAAAGATAAACCATTATTCTAGATTTACATAAGTTGCATTTGTGTTAACCATACGTTATATAGTTAGTGATTAGAGCTAATTTCAGCTGTAGCTAAGTTTATACACTGACCAGAGTGTTTATATGCTCTTTTAGTGCTCAATAACGACGTTGAAATGTTGACAGATCCAAAATGTTGCAGTTGCTGCTTTGCCGCTATCTCGTAAAGTTCTTTAAATTGTGTGATTCTGAGAAAGCATTTTATTATGGATATGGACGGTCTTTTGTCGATTTTGTCGTTATTCGAACGCAATGTAATTAAATTGCAACAAAATCTCAATACCTATCAAGTGGAAGTTAATGCTGTGCGACGAACACTTGAAGATAGCTGGTCTCACGTTGGTCGCGCCGATGGTCGTATTATTGCCGTCCACGACGGCCTATTGAGCAGCGTGAACGCAGTCAACGAACATATTATCAAATTGAATTTACATATCGATTTAAATCGAGCCATTGGAATTTGCAAGAATGAGGACATCAATAAAGCAACATATAATTATAAAGGAAATCACACAAATCTCGATGGCATTGAGGTGGGCGAACTCGACGTACGCTCTGGCAATACTAAGTCAGAGGATCAGGCCGAGGACTTTGCCCTACAGCTCATCACGTCAAATCATGATATTAATGTGCACAAATTGGAAGTACGTTCTGTCCATGCTAAGCGACAGGATGAGGCCGAAGATTGTGCTCTACAGACCGTCACGCCAAATCATGACAAGAACGTCAATGACCACCTGAAAAAACTGGACGTAAGCGTTAAGCGTGACGACCAGCCTGGTATTGTGGTGGGTGAACTGGGTGCACGCTCAGTCCCTGCTGTGCCAGAGGATAAGACCGAAGAATGTACCCTACAGCTCGATATTCCGAATCATGATATTGCGGTGGGTGAACTGGACGTAGGCTCTGTACATGCCAAGCCAGACGGTCAGATCGAAGAATGTGTCCTACAGCTCACCAAGCCAAATCACGATATTGAGGAGACCGAAATAGAAGTATGCTTGGCTAAGCCAAATGATCAGACCGAGGACTGTGTCCCACAGCTCGCTACGCCAACAGATTGCCTTGAGGTGGGCAAGCCAGAAATAGTCTCTGTCCATTCTAAGCCCAAGGATCCGACCGTCACGCCAATGCAGTGTGGTAACATGATAAATAATCAACACAGTTTTACTCCAATTGCCCAATTATTGCCCTTCCCAACTCGTCAATCGAAACTGTTGCCCCCAAAAGGCGGTAGACAAATGTCAAGCAATGCAATTTACGATCAGCTTAACAAAAATATAAGCAGCTTTGTGAAGGGCAGCGTGATGCAGGCCACAATGATGCATCTCAATATAGCGGACGATTGCATTTTTGTAGCCAGGTGGAACGAAGAATCGACGCCGATAATAAAGTTGCTGGAGTGTCAAGGGACGGGCCAGTTGCTGGACCAGTTTCCCGATTTCGGAGAAGTCTTTGTTGTCTATGATGCCCAAGAGCGGATATTGCCACGTGTTGTCATCAATTCCCGTGCTGAGGGTGGCGGCTATGATGCGTATCTTATAGACTATGGAGAGCATATTCGTTTGGCCGAAGACGATGTAATCCTGGCAATACCCAACGAAGTCAAAGCCCTACCAGCTGAGGCCATCAGATGCTTTGTGCGCAATCGTGAAGTGGTCAGCATGTCAAAGTTTATCTATAAGAACATACAGCTGCGTGTCCTAGTGAACAGTGGCAACGATTTGGAAGTGGAAATCCTTGACGATGGCTCGTGCGAAAAGACGACAGCATCCTCAATTCATATCGATAATCCTGACTTAGATCGTATAGATGAAGCCAACAATATTCCAAATATGAGTACAGAGCAAGAACCCAACAAATCAGTTCAAAAACTGTCTCCAGAGGATTTGGAAATGCTAGATCAAGTTGAGTGCAGCACCAGTAATGCGCTCAAGGCTGTGCTGGGCTATATACCAACAGATGAGAAACGTATTTGCCGACACTACGATCCAAAGATTAACGGCTGCTTTAAAGGTACTGACTGGCTGATAACCAAACGAACGTCCAACTAAATCTTGAATCTTGGTATATTATTCAATTTTAGGATCCAATTGCCGTCTGTTGCATCAGCCGTTTGCTCCGAATGGTGCCACCAAGGATGTCGAGCTGGTTGAGCCGCTGCCAGAGACTATTTATACATCTGAACCTCCTAGGCAAGTGGGCAGCATCATACGCGTGTTGGTCACCTATATCAGCAGTCCGACCGAGGTGTATGTGCAGTTCGTAGACGCTGCGGTGCCTCCTCTGGTGTGGAGCAAGAAAGATGTGCCCGAATCGCAGCGCAATTTCAAGCATCGGCCGCGTCTTTTGGACATTGTGCTGGCGCTTTACAGCGATGACTGTTTCTATCGGGCCCAAATCATTGAAGAGATCGATGGCTTATATAAAATCTTTTATGTAGACTATGGAAATACAGAGTTTGTTTCCATTAGATCGCTGGCGCGATGCACTGATGACATTAGCCTCAAGCCGCACCAGGCCAACAATTGTTTCATTGGAGGCGTTAAGCGCCGTTCGCTGGCCACACAGCGGCAAACCACCGAATGCGTGGAGTTTCTCAAAAGCAGAATCCTTAACGTAGAGTTAGATGTCAAGCTGATTGGCCAAATGCCCGATGGTTATGTGATCAAGTTAAAGGATCCGTATGCAGATTTGCCCAGCCAGATGATCAAACGCGGCTACGTGGAGCCAATATGTTAGTTCTAACTTGAGCGAAGCTTGTCCATCACATCATCATCATCATATTATTATTGTTATTGTTACAATTTGTTAATTTTTTTATTGTTAAATGCCCGGAGAGCATAGCGCACAGTGAACACTATGCTTCCGATTTATATTTAGTCAACGTATTGGACTAGGCAATTACATGTTGAGCTCTTTGCATTCCTATTGACTGAAGAAAGATCAATATGAGGAATTACATTTGTTTTGTTGTTGGATACTTGTTAAATAATAGACTAACAATTTAGACTAACAATTTATTAGCACTATACTATACGACAATGTAATAGATATATTAATAGCAAATTATTTTCATTTAGTTTCATAATTCTGAAACTGCTTTCTTTATGATTATAATTCTTTAGACTACTATAGTACTATAGTACTATACCAAATCATATGACGATTAAATGGTAAGCAGTTATGAAAGATATAAATTCAAATCATAGAAACTAATTTTGCTGTACTTTTTTAGATTTAGTGAATCATTTCTAACTGAAAGGAAGTTCTTTATTTCATTGGTCTTACTCAATGCCGGTTCTTTTGTATTTCCCAAATTAGATATTTTTCATTTGGGAATTGAACGAGATTATTATTCAATTAAAATTAAAAAAAGGCAAACTCTTAATTTAACTAGAGCTCGAATTTTATTTTAAAATTTTGCAATTAATTTGATACAATTTATTTATTTAGAATATTTTGTTTACCTGCCGGAAATTTGAAATTAAAATTGAGGCGCATAAAGCTCAGTTCTAAATTTAGTTGAGAAACAAAATATGTAAAGGACTTTGCTTTAACTCAATTAATAAATATTTAATATAATATCTATTCATTTTGTGGACTTTTTCCATATTAGTGAATCAATCCGGACTGAAAAGGATATAAAGAGAGGATAAAAGTGTTGTGTCTTGGTCTTTCCCCTCGCCTAACTGTAAATAAAGATTTAACATTTAATACTTATTCAGAGAACTGAACGAGATTATTAAATAAATATTCATAAATAAAAAACTCTTGATTAATAGGTGCGGCCCATTAAAAGTCATTATCTCACCCTAAGCTGTTGTCACAAAGCTTGAAAACAAAAGCAATAAAACAATAATAATAATTGCTCATAATGTGCAACAGCAGCTAGTTTTAGTCCTGGGCCGGGCTCGGTCAGGTCGTCGTTGTCATCGCCAGAGCCAGAGTCGCGAGTGCTAATAGATTATGCGGCAACGATTAGAAAGGCAATAAATAGCACCTGACGGAGATCACATGCGTGTACCGGTCACATCGTTGGGGAATTTTCAGGAAGTACTTGGAGTATTCGTGCAATAACGTCCACATTCGATCATTCTTATGCCTGGGTATAACGGGGTTCTGTTGAACTGCCATTAGTATGTAGAAGGAGGCATAGTGCATATTCCTTATCCACATGACAAGCTGGGTCGTTCGCTGATTAAGTGCTCCTCAAATAATCGATAAAAATTTTACGGAGAGTTAATTTAATTAAAATTCTGGTTTAGCTTTAAATATTTATACAACTTTGACATTTATTTACATAAGGCACAACCATAGTAGCTATGCGACTCTCAAGAAATTCAGAAATCATTTGGTTTCGTGTCTTGCTTTTTCCTCTCGCCTGCCTAGAAATAAATTGAACAATTTCTCATGTGGTAAATCTATTCGTTAATGCAGAGCACTGGAATTTAAATAGCAAATAAACCAGATTATCATTTAAACGTCACACTCTTGATTAATTATGGGGCGGGTCATTAAAAGCAAAGAAAAAAACCACCTAAACTGTTGTCACAAAGCTTGAAAACAAAAGCAATAAAACAATAAAAAATAATTGCTCATAATGTGCAAAAGCAACAAACTTTTGTCCTGGCCCGACTTCGGTCAGGTCGTCGTTGTCAACGCCAGAGCCAGAGTCAGAGCTAGAGTTAGAGCTGCGGGTGCTAATAGATTATGCGGCAACGATTAGAAAGGCAATAAATAACACCTGTCGGAGATCACATGCGTGTACGGCTAATATATCGGGTCATATGGGGATGAACAATATGACGATTCTTCGTTCGACCAGCTATGTTTTGTCCTGGTGAGGTTATGGGTAGAGAGGGTTAGGGGTAAAGGGTAAAGGGCTGGCACTCAGTTTAACCAAAGCCAAAACATATTCAGGGATGTGCTGCAGTGTGAACCCGAACAACTGCAGAGATCTATTGGCAAACATGTCAAATAATATTAAATTTGGGATAAGAATGAAATTTTAAATATTTTTAGAGATATACTATTATATTATATTACTATTCCTTTACAGAAGAGTAAGCAAACAATAGCCACAGTCAAGTCTGAGTTATTTAACATGTCTGGATTGTATATATGTATGTATGTACACATAATATATACTAGTAGGAAATACCATTTACCGTGGACAACACACCTGCTGGGACCACCCTCGGCGATAATTATATGAGAATCAAGCACAGGGTTAAGTGTCAAAAGGATGAGAATGTTGGGGGAGGCGAGAGACCCCTTGACATATGTTTGAGCCAGGCAACACTCATATAATGATGATGAGCCTGAACCACCCTCAATATACAGAAATAAAGTACACAATTTGGTTTAGTCTTTGCTATTATTTCGGGTTGAACAATAATTTGGATATGAAGGAGGACGTGAAACAAAACTATTTGAATTTATACAATGGATGCATTGGATGCCGTTGCGTGGAACAAAAATATTTTAACGAATTAAAAAAAAATTATAAATATGAAAATCAAAACGTTTGCCAGCTAGGCTGCCTTTGGCTTTTTAGCCAGCTAGCAACTGGTGCCACGCCTGTTGCACTTGTGGCGATGGCTGTTTAGGGTGCAGCTGCCGTCCAGGATGTCCGAGTTGACCTTCTGTAGCTCGGCAATGCGCTGCCAGGTGGCGCAAAAGTGACGCACGTTCCGTGCATTGGCCAGCTTGGCGATCGGCCCCAATGTGCGATATCCGTTGTTAATATAGCGTATGAAGCCCTTTGCCGACAAGTCCATGACGGCTGTCTTCACCTGAGCCTCCAAGTCGCCACAGGCAAAGGGTCTGCACGGATAGCAGATTGTGATTATAGATTATATATATGTCATGTGTCCAGTACTTACTCCTTGGCCAACATATCGACAATGTGATTCTCCTTGATGCCATTCACATATTTGGGATGATCCTGGAAAATGCGCACCATGTCCATGATGTAAAGAGGCAAGTGGATGTGATAAGTGTTCGAGTGCATCATCAATGTGGTCGGCTCACATTCGCATATCGAAGTTTCTTCGCACATTTTGAAAAGGTTTCGATTTTTTTTTCGTATTTTTGGCAAATTTAGTGGTTTATACTCTATTAATATATATATTTTTTTTATTGGTACATATATTTATTTATATATGTATATATCTGTATGTATACAAATTTGTGTAGACGTATAAGGCACGGCTAATGATATCTGTTGTCCACATCTAGTAGGCCTACTGGGTTTCAGCCCTCGTTCCAAGTGCTAATGTCATCCACTTACAGGTGTCATTAACAGTTTGTCCGGCGAGGTTTGCTTTCGGTTTGCTCTTCAATTACGAGTTGAAGCCGGAGCCGTACAAATATTGTAACAATTACATGTTCCCTTCTCTTTTCATTATTACCTGGTAATTTGCCTAATATATAAATAGATGTGGGCCTCCCACTGCATTAGCTTCGAGCTGACAGTCCCCAGGGGGTGTGCTAAGTGCCAATGAGGTATGTGAGCGATATAAAGAAAAACAGGCACAGAATGAGTTAAAATACTGTTTATTGGTTTCTATTTTAGATGTAATTTGGAAGTTAAAATATTTTATTTTTAATTTTGTCAAGTTATATCTAAAATATACTGGCGTTGTATTTTATATGTTCAAGAAAATTCAAATTTCTGAGCTTATATTTATTTAAATATTTCTGGTAGTATTGAAATATTTTTATTATAGCGTATGCAAATAGCTGAGACTTTGTTTTCCAACTAATAATATAATCTCAACTTGGATTACAATTATTTATATGAAGAACTTATAAGCATATACCAGATATAAGGTCTAGTATACTATTGTTATTGAGTATACATATGTATACTTTATACAAGTTCTGTTATGTTAAAGTAAAGTCTGGAATATCCTATGCCTATCTGCTTAAATTGATTTTCATCTATAAAAACTATTTTTTTTAAGACATTTTTCTTCAGCTCCTTAACAAAGGTTTCTGAAGCTCATAAACCACATTTATTTGATACAAAGATCTCAAGTTTTCAAAGCTCTTTGTCTAGATCTTCGATCAGTAAAGTTTTCTAACCACAATTAATGATATAGTATTAATTGTCAATTCATCGTCCATGGAATCCTTGGTGGGCATGTCAAAGTGCGCACGCCAACCTTTTAGCCATGCTCGGGCATTGCCTCTCCAACACCGTTAAGAGACACAAACGAGGCCAGTCAAAGGGTTAACTATGGTAAAACTTTTGCCAACAGATAATAAATTAGCGCATACATTATGAAATATTGTTAGGATGCCACCGTCAACTGTCGCTGTCTCTGCCTGACTTCCGGCCAGGTGGGGGGCGGTTAGCTTCCAACTGGCAATTTGCTCTACCTGGAACAGGTGACAGTTTCTCAAAGCGAACGGGTTGCCGAAGCAGCGCCACGAATGACATGTGGTAAAATGTTTTATTGGTAAGGTTATCAAAGCTAAACGTAAGTCCCATTGCTTTTTATTTTCCGCAGTCATGCTTCGGGCATAGACTTTTTGATGACTCTATAGCTTAGAGTAGACCCCAATGGCCTGACTGTGCCATTTTTTCTTCATTTTTTGGTACCCCAATGATTACTATAAGACCAACTAAATATCTTGTTTAAGTAAGCAATATATTGCACGTTCCGTCAGCAAGTTTAACTGATGTCGAGCGACCCTTGTGGCTTGCCCATTGTCTATTGATTGACAATACACGTGACTTGTCATTTTCTTTTGATAGCGCATTAGTCTGCCAGGAACTGCTGTATATGTAATGTGTATAAATATATCTAGGTATATCTAACATATGTGAAAGATATGTCAAATAGTCTGATATCTAAATAAACCGCTAGATAATTGTACTTGGCTTGAAATGTTTTCTCTAAATAATGACCAAGAAATATTATGATTGACACATATTTAAATTTGAATATTAGAAATTCTCTTGAAGTTTATTTTAACTAAATATTTTTTATTTATTTTTTTTTAAATTTTTTATACAGAATAATATAAATATATGGAACATTTAATTAAATTTTGCAAACAGATGAAAGCAGAGGTCAGTAGGCTTGTTAGAAATGACTGGTAGAATTAATGTAGAGTTCAAGTATTTTCGAAATATAAAATACGATAAAACTGCAAAGAGTACTTAAAAAACTTTTTAAATTAATTGGTTTAATTATTAATTAATTTATTTTTTTAACAATTAAACAAATCCAAAATTATTAATTACAAATATTTTTTGCAAGTAAAATATGCTGTTAATATAATATGAAAATAATAGACTTTTTCGATAGTTCAGTATTTTCCGTTTCATTTAAACAGAAATTATTTTAAACAATTCTATATTATTTGATTTAATTAAAACAAAAAAATTAAATACATACAAATATTTTAACGAGCTGTATTTAATATTTTATAATTCAGTTGTATTTCTTTTATTTTTTATTTTATATATAATATATGAAACTTATAGTTATATATGAAAACAACAACAAAATAAAATAAATGCTTTAAAACAAAATTCAATCAACGATTTGCCTTAAATCAATTTTATTTATTTTATATTTTCTTATTATATAAATATGATAAATATTACGTGCCATGTATTTATTATTTATTATAATTTTATTGATTTACGATTACAAGTTTAGAAGGCATTTAAAATTTACGCGCCTTAAATCGTAAATCAGTTACATTGGCGTTCTCCTATTGCGTTGCCCTTTGAACCCTGGGCCGACAATTAGGGCTTATTAACTTTAATCGTAACGTTTCATCTACAAAATGTCGTTCGATCTAGAGCGCAACGTGAAATTCCATTACGGTCGATTTGCAGGCACCCATCTAACCCATCTATTTGCTAACCCGCCCATTGCCACCGTCCACTCGATCGTTCTCATTGGCTGTTGGAAAAAGTTTTCAGCCCTACGCTGGGCCCTGCTGCATAATAGTTGGCCAACTCATATAACCCTGTCCGAGCTCAGTCCACTTAGGGCAACACCCCCAAAAGCAAAATCTGAAAGGCGACTTCCACATGTGGTCAACAGTTTTTCCAGTCCGTGGCTAGTTTCATTTGATTTTTTTTGGGTCCTGTGGCGGTCGCGAGGGGGTGGCTAATCAAACTAACCAGTTATATGAAACCCTTATAACTGTGCAGCAAAATAAATGTCATTCAACATGGAAAAGTGTCATGTATTTGACGAATAATTACCGTCAACATTGCGTGATTGGCTGAATCAAGCGGAAGGCGGCCTGTGGCGCTATGACTTAGATTTGGTCCCAACTGGTTTAGGGCTTAGGGTTGAGGCTTCGGCTTGTGGCTCTGGTGGTGGTTGGGGGCTGCCCTTTTGGAGCTGCCGTTTTTGTGTGTGACAACAACCTATAATTACTTGGCAGTCAGACCTTCGGGTGCAGCTGAAGCCGCTCGCTCGAATCAGGAATACGCGCCGCAGGCTCAAACACAACGCGGCCGTCGGCGTGCACGGTAGTCCCAAGTCCCAATAGTTTGTCTCCGGAAATTCTGGGAGCTGCTCACAATGTACTCGCCGGCTAAATCGCCCATCGTGGACGTCACCGAAACCATCTCCCTGCACAGTGAACTGGACGTCGAACTGGAGCCGAGCTGCAACACCAACTTTACGATACCTTCGACGCATAATCTGCGCATGCCGCTGCCTGGACTCGCACTGCCCAATCTTCTGGCGTCCAAGAGCAATGGCAACTTGGGCGCTGCCACGTTACCCGCCTTTGAATATATTGCGCCCCCGAATCATGCGATGCAGTCTTTTGATTTTCCGCTCATGGAGCTGAATCGTGTTGGCATGTTTCCCGGATTTCTGCATCGACGGGCGCGCGGCGAAAAGCGGCCCATACCAGATGCCCAAAAGGACGCCAAATACTATGAGCGACGCAAACGCAACAATGAGGCGGCCAAGAAGTCGAGGGACGCACGCAAGATCCGCGAGGATCGGATTGCGTTTCGTGCCGCGCTCCTCGAGCAGGAGAACTCCATACTGCGCGCCCAGGTTCTGGCATTGCGCGATGAGCTGCAGACGGTGCGGCAGCTGCTCGGCGCCACAGCGGGCGGCATGCTGGGCGTGGCTAGGCAAGTCTGATCCAAGAATGGATACGAGTGTGTAAATATGTATATGTGCAATTGTGTTTTGTGATCTATATTTATAAATAAATTATTATATTATGTAAACGACTACGATTCGTATTTCTTTCGGAACTTTAAATATCACTGGACCAAAGCTTTTTAGAAAGGTAAACAAATATTGATTGATCCCGATTGACTTTCCTATTGTCCTGTTCTTGGAGAAAGTGTTAGTTAAAAACATATTTTATAAGTGTTAATTATATTGATTTATTTTTGATATGGTTGTAAATATTTTTATTTATTTATACATACAAAACATGGCCTTTAAACTATATTCAAAACAGTTCAATTATATTAAAATAAATTTTTTATAGTTTTAAATTAACATATTTTTGCAGAATTACGAATTTATTAGTATTATGAAATATATTTTTCTTTATATATATTCGGAATCAATTGAAAATTTGAATTTATGTATTCAACAAACGTATTTGCCGGACATATGATATATACATATACATATGTATATTCCGTGATATGAACTCAACCGATCTACTACATAAAACCGATATTCTGTCTATCTATCTGCAGATTTGCTATACGTACATCAATACAGAATGTGCTGAAATTAATATTAATATATATTATTTACATATTAATAATAAAATATCAAGTTATTAGATGACTAAGTTTGATTATGATCATATGACTTCTAGAAGTTTTAAAAGGATATTTTTATTTTTGTCATCAAATCTCTATAAGCCAGAAAATACTGATGTGAAACAGCTTAAATAGTTTAAAGCATTATTTATAAATAGGTCTTTTTCTAATCGATGGTTTAAGAAATACCTCCCTATTTTCGCATATGTTTTAGTTTTTGAATATTCAGAATGTAGTCTAGTCTTTGTAGGAAAACTACATCATTTACCCTGGTACCAAAATATTTTAAAGGCATGTAATGTCCGTAAAGAACAACCGTTGCCTACATTTTTTCAATGTCTACAATAAAATGAATAGAAGACTTTTTTTTTCCAAATTAGTATGATTTTCGCTCAAAGAACAAAAATAGACAAAATACCACTCGAGTTATAGCGCAAGGGTAAGAAAACAACTTTATTGCATTGCTTTTTGAATGATTTTAACAACATAAACATAATATATTAACAAACTACAAATTGATGGAGTGCATTTGCACTCTTCCATCTGCGGACAGCAGCAACAGTTGTTGGTTGCTCGAAGAGCTGCTCGATGCAGCAATGTCCGTGACAGGTGAGCCAATCTGAAAGCCCAGATCCGTCGATTCCCGATCCAAATGGAAATCGTAGCTGCGCACAGCGCCATTGGATAACGAGAACAGCCGCCAGCCGTCGTTGGACTGGACAAGGGCCTGCACAAGATTCTGTCGCAAGACGCTGCCGCTGAGCAGCAGCTGCTGATCAAAGACTTGCAGCTCGTATGCGCGGCGGGGTTGCTGCAGCAGTTGCAAAGCGGTATTGGGTCGAGCATCATAGTTGTCGCTGTCACTGCCATTGCCCGTGCTCTTCAGCTCCTGCTGCTCGAAGGAACGTCGCTCGTTGAGTATAATATTTTGAATGGCGCAAGATTTGCCCGTTTCAGGCTCATAGTCCATGATTGGCGGCGGCATGGCCGTCATTGGTCGCTGCACCCGTTGGCGCTGTCGCTGATTGCAATTGAGTATCATCACGGAGCCATTTGACAAGCCCACGGCCACGTAATACTCATTGGCGAGGACGCATAGCGCTGTGGGAAAGAGAAAGCGACTCTCGTGGAGCCCGATGCGTGTAAAGCGCTCCGTTTTAAGGCTGCGCGTGCAGCACAGCACAAAGTTGCGATTGGTGCACACGTAGATGAGATCGGTGCCCGTATCGATGCTGCTGAAGCGTAGTCCCTGCACGCCCTCGCCCGCCATGGCTGTTGTTAGGGTTTGAGTCTCGTTCAGCTCACGCAGCAGCTCGTCGCTGTAGACGTTGCCCTGGAACAGGGACTTGGTCTTGTCGTAGTCGCTTTGAGTGCGCTTCAGCAGGCGGCGTTCCAGATAGCCACGCAGATCACAGCTCACCGCCTGCAGCAGCTTCACCCTGGCCCAGGGTGAGCTGTATTCGTTTCGGGTCGTTGCACCACAATTTAACTCACTTTCCACCAGCGACCAAATGGTTAGCAGACCCGAATCGTTTAGCGATGCATACTATGGAAAGGGATTGGAATGTAACTGACTGGGCTCACATCACTTTAAGCTGCCTACTCACCTGAATATCCTTGTGTGCCAGAGTCCAACTGGTGGCCACTCCAAGGCCAGTTGCATTGGGCGTCGGCCGAAAGCTGCGCACATCTACGACGGCACCCAAATCCAGGGCGGTTAATCCTTTGCTCTCCATGGTGGGCACCACCGACTGCGTGGCTGCAAAGTGTGTCAAATTCCCGTCCAACTTGGAGCAAAAGCTGTATGTTTCGCGCAAATCCCACATGGCAATGCTGCCATCGCGCAGACCCGCAACAACTATGTCGGGTGCTTCGCAGCAAAATGCCACACGGGATACTTCCGCCCAGGTGGACAGCAGACGCAGCGGCTTGCTGGGATCCGTGAGAGACCAGACCATCAGCAGATTGGCGAAATCATCTCGATAAACATTGGACTCTGGCGGACACTCATGTACCGTGACCACGAGCTGCTGCTGACCAGCGCTACCGAAGATGCGACGCACGGGGAGCGCATTTAGCAGGCCGGTCTGCAGCAGCGGCACTTGGCGTGGCGAAGGAGTTGCGCAATTGGAGTTTAGTACTTTGCCTAGAAGCAAGGATGCCTTTTGTAGAAACACGCCCAACCGATTCAAATCGCTGGGTTTGGTCAGACGCCGTTGTTGCTGGCGCATGGTACGCTGTTGCTCAGCCTGACGCAGCTGCTCCAGGCGTGCCAGACTGCAATCGAATACATCGTTTGCATGAGCCACGAGTCTGTCACTGTCGTTGCCTGCATCTCCGCTGCAGCTCTGTACCAACAGACTGCCATAATGCGGTGGGTGCTGTGTCCAGCTGGTGCGAGTGTGCAGCTCCAGAGTCTGGCATTCGTTGTCCATCTGCTGGGAGTGGGTTTGCGTAGCCAGTTGGCAAGTGTTTAGTTTGCCATAGCTCTGCATATATCCCTCATAGCTGAGCGGCTTCATCTCGAATAGCTGATAGTCCAGATGATCGAAGCGCAGCTTTCGCATCAGTTCCTCACCACGACGCGTTATAACCGGATGCGAAATAAAATTGACGTAGCCGCCATAATGCACATCCGCTGTCGACTCTCGGGTGTTGGCCAGCTCTATTGGTTCTGCAACACCATAGTTGCTGATGCCGGAGTCCAGTTGCTCCGAATTGGCCATGCTGTTCGTATCGAAGCTATCGAATTCCTGATGTGCAGCAACGCGTGGCTGTCGACGTGAGTTCATGTCGTAGTGGCCCGAATCCAATTTTCTCTCCAGTTCCTTGTCACGCTGTATGACCGTAATTGGATTTTGCGTGGGCTCCGAATCTTCTTCATCCGCCTCATCTTCCTCTTCAGTATATGCATCGATATCCTCGTGCTTGTCTTCTATAAAATTCACTTCTGCCACAACTTGTTCTGGCTCCTCACTTTCTTCTATTTCATTTTCTTCCTCCTCCAAGTCATCCTCTTCTGGTGTACTGACATCAGTCTCAAAGTCCGATTCATAGGATTCGAAATCATCTGAGTAGTTATCCAAATCGTTAGTCTGCTTTTTGGCTGCATCAAAGTTAACTTCAAAGGCCACAGGTTTATTAACTTGTTTGATTTGCTGTAGCACATCTAGTTCGCTGCGCTGCTTGGCCGATTCCCGCTTGAGCACAACTATTTCCTCTGGTTGCAATGTGCGTGAATAGGAGCGCACACGTGGCGTCCGCCCATCCTCCTCAAAGGCATCCACTTGGCTGGCCGACGCTGTCGTTGTTTCTTGTTGTTTTGATTGCACTCTGCGCTTTTGCGGTGGCGACGACACCGTCACGCTGTGATATGTGTCCAGCACTGCATTTGGCTTGACCTTGCCGCCGGCAGGTGGTTGTTTCGCTTTGGCCGCACGCAATGTGCTTGCTGTGGCCTTTGTTGTTGTTGTTATTGGCGATGGGGTTGCTCGTTTGTTTGCTTGGGCAACAGCCTCACGCTCCTTATTTTTGCCCGTAAGCAATGACGTTGATTTTTTAGCTGTTGCTGTTGCGGCTAGCGTCGTAGACTTTGTGGTTTTTCGCTGAATTTGCTCACTTTCAGGTTTATCCTGTTGCTTCTCCTTCTGCGTGCTGCTTTTCGATAATATTGCACCGGTTTTACTTGTTGCAGGTGATTTGGTAGTCTTCCGCTGTACTTCATGTTTTGGCTATAAAATATAGTCATAATTGCTTTTTGCTTACTATTTTTTCCCTCTTCAATAAGCTACAGCTGTTTAGCGTGCGGCTTCCAACACTGGCCAAAATGAAAATTCAAAGATCAAACTGCTCTTCTAACAAAACGATCAATGCTCTCTCTCTCTTTCCAGACGGCCAATATTAAGTGCAATTGTGCTAGGCATTAGTTTCAATTAATATGTGTGCATGTGTGGGTGTGTATACATGGTGCATAATAATACGTCTGAGAACTACATTCACAGCCAATCCAGTGGCAAGTGGCTGAGCTGTTGAGCTGTACGTTAATATAATCTTTGCGAATTAAGTAATAAGCACTGTGTGATTTATTTCGTTCCAAGTAAATCTCCTTGTGCGTTTGAAGTGTGTAATACATGTCTAACATCTTACATTTGATTTGTTGGTTGTACGCGGTAAACTCTTCGACATTTTATGTCCACAGTGACGGGTTTTCGCGTATAGTAAACGTTAAGCAGACACGTATGTTTAATCAATTGTAATTGTTAATTTAGTTCATTGCAAAAATTCATTTCGTTGTGACCAATTTAATTGTTCCTATAGCAACCAAAGCATAGCAACAAAAACAAAATGAGCAGCTGATATTCAAAGGTTGGTAAGTTTGAATAAAAATAATCGATATGCATTAGATATAAATGTGTAAATACATATAAATTTGGATAAGTATATATACTAGTATAAAAAATAATTAACTAAAAATATGGTTTCAGCTGATATCATTTTTGCTTGCAAATTTACCTTTCTTGATGAGCTGCGTACGTACCTATCCCAATCGAAGCATTTTGCAACACTTATTCAAAAGAATGATTTGTTTTGAAAATTGGTTGTATTTGATTGCCTAACATAATTTAGCTTTAATTGTGCTCTCGTAAAAATTAATATCACAATAAATAAAGGTAATCTTGTGCACAGCATATTGTCTAAAATTAAAAGCGTTGCATCAGCCACAAAGTGCTCGTAGCCAACAAGAGAACAGAGCTGCTGTGGATACCTAAATGCGCGCCGCTGTCGTCGTCGTCTTTTGAGGCGTAATAATGCGATATATAACGGGCATATATGTGCTCCATGGAACGCTTGGCGTAGTCTCGCTGCAGCTCATGCGCGTTTAATAGGGCATCCGTGCTGTCGTGGAATAATATGTCAGTGCGCCTATCGAAGATGCCGTAGAGTGAAAATGGGCGTGTGTCGGTCTTGGGCTTCTTGCCAAACAAATGATCCATGTCGCGCAGCGAGTTGTAGATCTCGTTGTGTCGTGTTAGAGATGAATTGTGCGTCACCAGCTGGCCACGCGGCGTCCAGTGTAGATAGCAGTACTCAAACCTTGAATGACGTTCAATGCCGCCGTAAGGACACAAAAGGCGGTAAGACTGGGGTTTGCTACGCGCCAGCCAGTCGGATGTTAAATTGCCACTAATATATTTCTTGTAGACATCGGAGCTGAGGAAAGCCACGTCGGCACCCTCGGCCAGGCAACGGAATGCGCCCTCATCGCCATGATAATGCGGCGGACACTGACGACCACGATGCGGATGCCAGAGGCAAGATTCGTGACTGAAATATGAGTTCACTGACTGTACTTTTCCGGTCGCGTTCACAATGGTTTCTAGCACAGAGAGATGAGCAGCACCCTCATAGTTGGGCAAGCAAGCGCGAGCACCTTTTAAATCCGTAAAACTTTTAAACTTGGAATCTTTGTGTACTAGCGCAATTGTTACGTAGCGATCGTGCATTTGCTCTGCAAACTCAAAAAGCAACGGCGTCAAACCATAATCTCTTTGGGCTTGAATTCGTTGCTCTTGGTTGACCATTAGAACATCGGCGCTCTTGTAACGAGTATCTTCCATACACTGCTCCATGTTTGTCGTGCGTATGCACTGAATGTTCGGCTCGACGCCATATACTTGGGATGCCTCCTGCAACCAAGAGCACTTAATATGCTCGATGATTGATGTTGTGCAGACGACAATCGAGCGCGGGGGATTGCACTCGGGGAAACTGTAGGCCGACTGAAAGCCAATAGCCTGATCCAGATAGTCATCTATAGAGATGACGTTGTCCAGTGGCACAGTAAGCACATGGTATGTCTCCAGCAAGCTAAGCAGCGCATTTTGCCAGCTCTGCGGCTCGTCGTGTGTGAGTCCAGTAACCAGACGCTGCACCTGAGCGGCATGCGAGCGACGTGCAGCCACCACAGGCCATGGCTTGGATACCCAAATGCAGGGATGCGTCACATTGATTGGCTGCAAGTGTCCGTCTGGACAGAGATAGCTGTATTTAGACGGGTCGTCCTGTGCTGGCAGACCTGCCAGCTGTTAAATATGATAATTAGCAATGTTTCTGTATAAACAATAATTCAACTTTTGCTACTCACCCCAAAATGACTGCGCGTATCGTCAAGACGTGCCCAGGAGACGCTACCGCCGCCACTTGTCAGACAATAGAGTGCTCCACGTCGTCCCCAGTGCTTGTCAGTGTCGTCGCAGCTATATGGGTCATAGCACATTTGGCATAATGATGGATACCGATCCTTGAGAATGCGATCCTGTTTACGATCTGGCACCCAGGGACCAGCTTTGCAGCTGGGCCCAAAATACCTCGCTGAAGCCGCAATGCGGTCTTCAGTTAATGTAATATCTGGATTGCAGGACTTTGCGACCAAGGTTGATTCGAAGTACTGAAAAGTATAATGGAGACAATTAAAATATATGTTTGTTAATAACTTAAGAGTGCTTCTTCTCACATTGGCCAACACCTCGGTCCAGTGGTGATCCAAACCATAGCCAGGATGACACAGCTTGGCGCCATGCAGATCATTGACGGTGTGTATGCCAGCGTCGTTGTTCACAACCGCAACTATTTCATACTCAAAGGGCGAGAGGTGTGAACGTAGTTCGCTGGCAACCAGAATCTCCACGCCCGCCCAGCGAGCTGCCACCAAATCCTCGGATGTGAGCACACCGAAGTGTGCCGTTCCTTTGTGTATGCGGCGCACACAGTCCAGGCGATCGACGCCTATCACGCACTCAATGTTACTCGTGGCCTTCAGAAGCGGACAGAATTTGGGCGCCTTTCGATAATTACCAAGCGACTCGACCACACAGACGCGCACTGAAGGCGAAGGCGAAATACAATGGAAATTAAAATGAAGTTGATAATCTTTAGTATTTCGCTGAAGGTATTAATTCCGTTGGAATAAATTTAATTTCAGTGTGAATTGATCGTTTATTTCGTGCAGTTTTTCGGAAAGAGTCTTGAATTCAAAATTCCCATCTGACAACCGGTTTGAAGACGTACTCGTTGCATTTAACTTTCGGCTCGTCTTGGAAAACTCTGATATCATAGCAATTACGCAGAATTCACAACTAACTGTTGTCATGCGAATGCAGGAGGGGCAGTTTGGCCAGTGGAGCACGAAGTCAAGGTCGTTACGTGTGCGAACCTTAATGTGTTACGAGAGTCTTCGGCAACAGGTATTCGGCCTACCTGCGGAAGAGTTAAGCTGACACCTATATTGCTATATACATATATGTTTACTGGATTCTATAGTTGTATAGTTATTTATAAACGTGAAGTTGTATATAGTCAGTCTGTAAATGACTTTTATGAATCTCTCAATCACTTTTGCTAGAGCCGCATTGAAAGCTAATAACACAAACTTGAAATAAGTATAGGCTTTCATTATGCGGAATAGTTCATGCTCTTTTCTCAAGTGTATAATTAATTTTTAACGAAATATGTAACCACATTGAAATTGGCCCTGCCCCCGTGATGTATTTGTATGTACATATATTCTCTTGCAATATAAACAGCTGAATTGATTAGATCTTCCAGTTTGAGTATAGTTTTTGCATTATATTGAAGCGTTTATTGTTGAAATAATAGACATGAAGACATCTATTAATATCCCAACAATATTATTTTCTCTCCACAGGAATTTCTCTTTGTTTGATTTGATAAATATGTTTTTCAAAAGGACTTTATCGTAATTCTTAGTTATGTATTTTTGATAAATGTATACGTTTTTTATTAAAATATATTATTCATGTTTATCTCTTTATGAAACACTGAAAAATGACCCAGAAAAATACTCGCTGTTAAATATTTCTTATCTTTACAGGTCAATACTCTTTATTTTTTCACACATAAATTGTATATACTTTTTTTTCAATTTCGCTTTAGTATAGGTAAATATGCATATACTTTATTTAGCTGCTAATGAAAGGTTCACAGTTTGATGCAATTAAGTTTTGATTTAATTTGTAGCTTCAATGATATTGTAAGGATTCATAATTGTGTTCAAATTCAGATATTTTATTATTATATATATATTTTTTATTATTCTGATGAAATTCAGATGTTTAATAGTCTTAAATTTGTTTTTATAATTCTGATGAAATATAGCTATTAAATATATCATTTTGTGAAGCGTATGCACTATTCGGTGTATTGTATATTTCCAGTATTTCTTGTTTTTTTGTCTTTCTTTTACCTCATGAAGGTCAGCCGGTGTATTAACGTTTTATTTTTATTTTAGGAAACAAAATGAATTGATAAAAATTTTTTGTTTCTCTCTGATTATGAATAGTATATAGATATAGAGTTTAATTTGAGTTTCTTGGCAACTTTTAACTTTTTGTTAGTCACTCTGAAAGAGTAGCAATTAAAATGCTTTCAGGTACTTATTTTGTTTATTGATGTAATCAATTTACTGGAGAGATAACAATTGAATACTCTTGTAGTCGTTTCTCGTCTCTCCATTTGAACTTACATTTCCCATCATCGAGCGGCTCGATGGCTGCACAATTTGATATTGATAAGGCGAACAAGCAACTGAATATTATCAGTAGCTGCATAATTGTGTAATTAATGGTATTTAAAATATGTAAGTAGAAAGTATTTTAAAATCACTTTGTTTCAATCAAAATTAATTCAGCACTTAGTTGAAGTCTCAAGTTGAGTTAATTTTTTTTTTTTTTGTTGTTAATTTGTCGCACTATCAGCACTCAACCCAGGAAAAACGCCTACAAATGTTTAAATGCATATATTTATACATATATGTTTATTATTAATAATATATGTATTTGCTTTTTGATAGTATGTAATTTATTCGAGAACGCGCCGAGCGAGTGAGTTTGAGTCGACCTCATGCGACGGACGAACAGATGCGACTGTCTGAGCTTCTGTTGGCGGTTACGTCGTCGGCTGCGGATGCAACGAATAAAACCCGTTTCAAGCCGAATTTTTTTTTGTGATATTAAAAATGATCGCACGTAAACAAAACTAACGAACAGCTGCTGACTCAAGCGCCGTTTGGGGTATTCCGAGTTGTGATTGATTGATCAGAACCAACGAGGAGGTGCGTATTACGGGGAATTTTAGATATCCAAGGAACTCAGCTTGGGCTCGGGAATCACCTAATCAGAGACTATTTGGTGGGTATCTATCTATAAGTTTGCGCACGCGTAAATCAAGTTTTTGGAGACTGCTACTTAGGCTTGCGAGATAAGCCGAAAATATGAAGTTGCTAACTAATTTCATAGAAATAATAAAATGATCACTATAATTGAAGCAAATCTGAAATTCTTGGAAAGTCAAACCTTATCAACCAATATCTATAGATTATTTAAAACAAACTTGATACTTTACCAAGTGAAATGAGAAAGCTCTTGCTCTTGACTCTCAGGATTGAGAAATGAGAAAGCTCTTGCTCTTGACTTTTAGGATTGAGAACCTCCATTTTCCTTGTATTATATAGTTTCGCAAAGTCGTTATACCCCAAACTAACGCCATCAATATATTTAGAGTATATTTACTTAAATATATACACATATTTACACATATAGTACATATAGAATATACATATGTTTTATTCCTTGTCTTAGACCCTGGTCTATCTTACGAATTTGTAATCTCAACCTTTATCATTATGCAGTCGATTACTTATTAGAATTATTATTATTATTGGCGTTGCTCTTATCAGTCTCTGTTGGCTTATCAGCAAATGTTTTGTGTCGCAGAAGACTGCTGGGCGGTGTTCGCGACGCTTTGTAATAACAGTCGTAGTGCGCACTTTGCGGCATTCTCATGCCTTCAACGTGATCTCAAGTGGCACCACCAAAGTAATGAAATAATTTTTCATATTTAATTGTTAAGGAAATAATCGCGAGATGTGAAAGTGTGCCATTGTGTTCAAATGCTTAGATTGTTCTTGATGGATTCAGTTCAATTACGAGACTATGAGCTTAGTTATTTATTTATATATAGACTTTGTGCATTTCTATGGCTTCTCAGTTGCTATTGACTTAACTAGTTGGCGTTTTCTCGCAAATTACGTTTCGCATTAAATCCCATAAAATTCGTAATTTTTCCCTTTTTTAACTATGGGTGTTGGCTTTTTGTTTTTGTATTTTAAGTGTAGTGTGATTAATGGGTAAATCAAAAAGTATTTGCCTTTTCTCCCGTACCTGTATTAAAAGCTTATATAATTTTTATTATATGTATAAAATTGACATTTGGATGCGTGTAAAATTTCAATACCCTCCCATTTGTTTGTTTGTTTAATTAGTGAAACCGTTAGCTTAGTGTAGTACACTCACTTATTTCGTATTCGTTTCTATTTCTGTTTCTGCCTGTTTTTTCAGTTATTGTTTATTTATTTATTTTTTTTTTTTTGTGCGTTTGCATCGTAAATAACCTTTTATTTTGGCAAATTTTTTTTTGGTAATTAACCTGCCGGCAATACCGAACGTTGATCGTTTAATTTTTCTGTGTCAAGTTTGCTGTTAATGCATTTATATAAAAATGTATATGGGTATATATTATGTACACTTATATATGGAACTGGTTTTCGTTGTAGATACTTAGCCTATATCTGTGCGTAGGTAGTTAGTATTGCGAATGCATCATAAGCGCTCGACACTTTGATGTGGTTTATGGCTATTAAAGCAGCGGAATTTATTTATTAGCTAATTGAGCTGACTTAATTAGCTCAATATTCGATTAATATGTATATGTTTGCGTATCATGGCATTTCCTTTAACTGGTAGCTAATATATTTTTTTTAATTCTCTAACTAAAAGAACAAATAAGAAACGTAAAAAATTAAAGCCAAATAAAATATTTATTGGGTTGAATCGTGCTTTGATTGCCTAAAAATTCTGCAGTTTAAAATTTCTTGTTTCACTAAATGAATAAATTAAGCAAAGTATACAGCTTAAAAAAGAAATGTCTGGTTGGTTTGAATTGAAAAAAAGCAAATTAAATATTATGCAAAAAGTAGAAAAAAGAAAATAAGGAAATAAATAAAAAAAAATCGAATGAAATGAAGTAAAAAATTAAAAGTAATATTAAAAAAAATATATATACATATATTTTTAAAAATATTGCTAAATCTTAAATATAAAATAAGCATTTATTAATTTTAGACTATAAATATTAAAGCTAAACATTTAAAAGTATATTTGAGGTAATGAAGTTAATTGGAATATAATACAAATTTATAGCATAAAAATCTATTTATTTCTTATGTACAATATTATTAAATTTTTTGTTGTACTCTACTAAAATGACATGCCTCTTGTTGCTTAGACACTTACATAAGGTGTTATCTATACTTATTCAACTAACAATCCAACGGTTTTTAGTGCAATAAAGTCTAGACGCTCTATGGGGGCAAGCAGTATTACCTTAGAGAATTGAGCACGCCTTTTGTTTATGTCAAATATCTATTCAGGTGCCACAGATAAGATTTGCACGTCTTTAAGAGCAAACATAAAATATAAAAGTAATTTATTAATTACACAAAAACTCAGATATATTTCAGATAATTTTAGCCAAACAAATTAGCAATAAAATTCTTATCTCTATACAATTTTATGCTAGCCCTATGTTACAGTGAACATATTGTAGGTGCGATAAGATAAGTACGTCCATAGCAACATGATGTTTACAATTTGTCTACTCCTATTCCCACAGCCTCCGGATCGAGTCGATCGCTGCTCACTTACTATGGTCTTGTGAGGGCAGCGGGCAGTAAAAGCAATAAAGATTACGACGCCGGTGCATGGAGTCATCAAACTGTGATATAGTATTGTGAACCGTCTTCTAGTTAGTTGTCGTACAGGCATATGTATGTATACATAGTAGATATTCTGTACAGCTGAGACAATGGTGTCCATAAATAGACGCCTGCTGCCTATCAAGGCGCATTTCTTCTTTTTTATGGCGGGTGAGTTTTGAATTATTACTGTTTATTCTTATTCTGAATGAAATCCATTTCTAACCCGTCTTATAGCCATGGGTCCCATATTGCCGCAGCTCTCGGTGATAGGCAAACAGATTGGCATACCGCCGGACATAATGGGCTATATCACCGCCGTCTTGCCCGTTCTGTATGTGTTGGCCAAGCCACTAGTTGGCTTTTTAGCTGATTATTTTATGGTAAGTCGATTAGCACTACAAATGTCTGTCTTTATTAATTCTCTTAACTTTACAGCACTTGCGCAAGGTCATCTTTATGGCATTGATTGTAATCATGACCTTGGCCTATGGCGGTTTCTATTTTCTGCCCAATGCACCACATCCCATTGAGCTGAACGAAACGAGCGTGGAGTGGCCAGTGACGTTGACAGAGGCGCCGCTCCACTGTCCGCCAGAGATTTATGCCGCCGATACCCATTGTCAGGCGGCGCATGAGGCTGAATGCAGCCAGGGCGACTACATTTTTCAGGCATTAATAGCGGCGCCTGATGCTCTGGCTAACCTGGAAGCCAGTCCCAATCTGAAATATGGCAACGACAGCTACTTCATTTGCCTCACTGAGCAGAAGATGGCCAGCTACTGGAGCAACACCTCCCTCTCCTGCCGGCTGCAGCACATCGACAGCTGTGTCTACGGCAGTGGAGCGTTCTGGCTGTTCGTTGCCATGCTCTTCATTGGCACCATTGGCTTCAATGTGACCAACTCCATATCGGATGCCTGCTGCTTTGATATGCTGGGCGAGGCAGAGCAGAGCAAATATGGTGCCCAGCGCGTTTGGGGTACCATTGGGTTTGGAGTGACTGCGCTAATCGCCGGAGTTGTGGTCAATCTGTGGACAACGGATGCAGTGAAGAGCTTTACGCCCGCCTTGATTATAATGGGCGTGTTTAGTGTGCTGGATTTGTTCAGCGTGTCCAAGCTAAAGTTGCCCAAATTGGGCGGCTCCGAGTCCATCTGGACAGATGTCTGGCAGCTGGTGCGTCAGCCGCCGATTGTAACCTTCTTGTTCTTCGCCACAATGGCCGGCATAATTGACTCGTTCATAATCTACTTTATGTTCTGGCATGTGGAAGAGGTGGCCGCCCAGACGGGTTATATGGCGGACATCAAACTCATCGAAGGCCTCGTCGTGGCTGCGGAATGTCTGGCGGGCGAGGTGCCATTCTTCTTCTACAGCGGAAAGATTATCAAGAAACTGGGCTACGTGCACTGCATGAGCATGTGCTTCTTCTTCTATGCAGTGCGTCTGTCGCTCATCTCCTGGATACCGAATCCCTGGTATCTAGTGGGCGTGGAGCTGTTCTTCCAGGGCGTAACCTACGCCCTCTGCTACACTTGCATTGTGGCCTATGCCTCGGCCGTGGCCCCGCCCGGCACCTCAGCCACGGTCCAAGGCCTCATGGCTGGCATGGACGATGGGCTGGGCTTCTCCATTGGCTCACTCATCGGAGGCATTATGTTTAAGAGGCTGGGCGGACGTGAGAGTTTCAAGTATTTTGCCATAGCTGCCATCTGCACATGCGTGGCGCACATCGTACTCCGTCCGTTGTCCAGGAAACGGCAGTATTTACCCAAAAGCGAATATCAAGTGCCACCCGAGCTGCCCGAAAGCGAGCTGAGGCCCATGACGCCACAGGAGATGCCAAAAGTATATTAGTTTTAGTTTCCATTTTGTATTATTGCATACGATTTTTTTTACAACTTTATTTAAATACTTGCTCCCAAGTTGGATAACATTTTCGATTGTTTTATTTGAACAAGTGCTCTCCATATTTCAACGTACACGAGGCGCCGACAACTCTCAAGAGGCTTATTGAAATGTTGAATAATACCATAAAAAAAGAACAATTAAATAAAGTAAAACAAAATAAATAACAACAAAAATAACATAAATCAATAAATCAATGTATACAAAAGATTCAGATATTCGAAAACTGAAAGCGTTCTTTATAGCCAAATGCCGAATAGTTCCCACTCCATATATCAGCAAGTCACACAATTAAGACTCAATAAACCAATAAAACATTCTAAAGAGACTAACAAAATTTTTGAATTAGGCTCTGATCACAAATTAGAATTAAAAGCATTGAAATCAAAGAACGTCAAGCTTTTGTAGGCTAGTGTACTTAATTATGCTCAAGTGTGGGCCCACTTGAAAGTTGTTGAAGTGGGCAGTTGTAAAAAATTAGATGGATGCCCCATTCGAAAGCTGACTGCCAAAAGACTATATAAGCCCGGCATCACAATTCCAATTCACATTTCACAAGAAGATGCCAAAAACGTGGCCGGTTTATCTGTTGCTCTCTTTACTGATCGCGTTAAGTGCGAGAACGATTAAGGCCCGCCAAGTGAAGAAATGTAGCCTGGCACGACAGCTATATCGGAACGGTGTGCCTTACAGCGAGCTAGCCGATTGGCTGTGCCTAGTCGAGGGCGAGAGCTCGTTCAATACAAAGGCTATCAATCCAACCAATGTGGATAATTCCGTCGACTGGGGACTGTTTCAGATCAACGATCGGTACTGGTGCAAGCCCTCGGATGGCAGACCGTCCACAGATTTGTGCCGCTTACCCTGCCGACTGTTGCTAAGCGATGACATTAGATATTCCATTGCCTGTGCGAAATATATCAAACAACAACAGGGATTCTCTGCCTGGGTGGCTTGGAATAATCGTTGTCAAGGTCCAAAACCAAGTGTAAAGCGTTGCTTTAAACGAAGGCATAGGTATATAGGTTAAATAAGACTCCAATGAAATGTGATATTAAAGTAAGTGCTAAATAAAAGTATTTAAAGCACATCCTTTATAAACTTTTAAATATTCGCGGGCTTTAATTCAAATAAATATGTCAGTGTTGCTTAACATCAGCTGCCACATCTGGCAACTCTGAAAGCATACGAGCATAAGCTGCCTGCTACATAACTCAACTGTATATTCACCTTGGCCTTTCGCTTTGTTTACGCAGAAGTTTTTGTGAAATTTGTAATAAATTGAAAAAATAACAATATAAAATGGCATCAGCATCTAGTTCCAGTGCTCGTCATTTGTTTGATGATTCCAAGAAACGTCTGTGCGCTCGAGTTGGTGTAAATGTGAACAATTTGGGCTCTGTAGCCAGGCAAGTGGTGCGAAGCTCCAAGACCAACGAGGTATGAATAAATGTTAATGATAGTGTATAAACAATAAATTAAACTAAATGATGTTGCACAGATTATGCATCAGACACTGAAGAATTTTACGCAAGTGGACGTGGTATCCGATTACAGCAACCAAAACCTGCAAAAGATGACGCTCATCCTTCAGCACGTCGGCTATCAGTACGACGTGATGCAAGACAGTGTCAATCATTTGGATTATCTCAAGGAGCAGGTGACGGCCATGGAAAGATGATTGGAAGAGCAAAGGCCCAGACATTAGTTGAAGTGCACACCTTACGCCCACTATAATTTCGACAGTAATTCCGTTCATATATTTTCATAAATACCAGAGCTCCATAACCTCGTCTCGGGTTAATCGCAGCGAGGAGCCCTTGAATGTGTCTTTGAAAGGTGGAGTCGCTGGCAAACACACAAAATGCGATAAGGGCCAAGATACCTATGGCTGCCTTGCCTATAAAAGTAGCCAGCTATGAGATACGCACGATTATCTATCCATAAGTCAGCTTTCGCATCACATTATGCAGCGCACTCAACTGCTATTCGTTGCTTGGCTGGCATTTAGCTCTGCCCAGGACATCGGCACAGAGGAACAGAGGTTATTGGCGGACAGAGATACGCTCGATCCACCGGATGGTCGCATTGTCGGTGGTTGGGCGACAAAGATCGAGTATTTCCCACACCAGGTCTCACTGCAGAAGGGAGCGCGTCATATCTGCGGTGCCACTATATTGTCACCCAGTCTGGTCCTAACTGCCGCTCATTGTGTGCTAAAGGCTTCTGAGCCGCAGAGCTATTTCATACGCGCTGGCTCCAGCAAGTGGTCAACTGGTGGCAGCTACCATCGTATTCGTCGTATCATTCCCCACGAGCATTTCAATCTACCTACACATATGAACAACGACATCGCTCTGATACAGCTCCAAGATCCGCTTATCTTTAGCGACACAATAAAACCCATTCCGATCGTATCGCCTATGGATGATGTGCCCACACTGGCTCAGCTCTTCGTCAGCGGCTGGGGCTCCACAACAGTAGAGCAAATAGCGACTTCACCGCGCTTGCATTACACAGTCATCGTTGAATTGAATCGCGATGCGTGCGCACATAACTACTTTGGCGCCGGCACATTAACATCCACCATGTTCTGTGCAGGCAGCAAGTCTGGCAAAGGTGATCGGGACAGCTGCGTGGGCGATTCGGGTGGTCCGTTGATCACACTCGTTGATGGTCGCTTCAAACTGCTTGGCATTGTGTCTTGGGGCTTAGGCTGCGCCAACGCTCAATATCCTGGTGTTTATACGTATGTGCCTGCTTATATCAACTGGCTACACCAAACAGTGCAGACACTGATCTAGGACTATAATATTTGGGTTTTGTTGTTAACCTAACTAACCTAACTAAAAATAGATTTAATAAGTTTGTTAACAATCGCACAGCTCACAAATTGTATGACTATTATAAAAGAGTGTCCACTTAATGTAAATATTTTGTATATGACCCACTTAAGCACTTATTTTTGACCTAATATTAATAATCTATATATAAGTTGTATTATTGTGAATAAACTATGAACACTTCCTCGCACATTTTTGTTGAACAGTAATGATTGTCAACACTGAACTTGTTTAATATTCAGTCGATTAAATATGTATACAAATTGTTTGTAAATTCAATATGAAAATAAATGAAACCTGTATTTAACCAGTTTAACTGTTTGGGTTTCAGTCAACTCTTCTCTTTAGGATTAGTCATAAAGAATGTTTGAGAACAAATTGTGTATTATATCTTAGAACTTAACTATTAATTTTCATTATTTCGTTAGTATTCAATACTGCTGTAAAGCTTTAGTATTTGATTTAAAAAAAAAGAATAGAAATTAAGGTTTCGATAACTGGAAAGTTCTTGAAACAGCTAAAGATTTTGTCTGTTAGATCAATAATATATGAACACATGATCGAAATTTTAAAACTTTAGTAATTTCTATTTAAAAACAAATTCGATTTCCTATAATCACTTGTTTAGCTTTTTGTAAAAGCAACAATACATATATTCATATTTTTCACTATCAACAAAGAGAGATTTGTCTACAAACACATTCAGCTTTTGCAAGTCTAAAGATCGTGCGACATTGAGAGACTCATTATTAGAGGAACTGATTGTAGTAGAACAGCAGCGTTAGCTTATCTGGCTTATTACAAAATAAATTCAACATTAATGTCGAATTGTCTTGTTTATGAATGCAAAATTCTAAAAATGAAAACAAGTTTTGTCTTCAAAGCTTCGAACGGTGTTTTGTATATAAAAAGCGAATCTGAGAGGCTAAAGCACTGCGGCAGACCAGTTTTTTCGGTTTCAGCTTCGATTGCGACTGACAAAAAATTCGCTACAAGTTTTTAGTTTCCCATCGCAGCTCAACAAAGAGACACACGTAAAAGTAAAAAAAAAAAATACTTGAGAAAAAAAAACATGAAGCAATTTTTCATATTGGTAAGCGATAGTCAATGGTAGCTACGCGCTGCAACTATGTACATTTCCGGTTTACTGTGTCAAGGTCGTTTGTGCATTGGGCGCCAGTCGCGCGGATGTGTCGCATCTTCATTTGGCCACCACTCCAGAGCCGCATGCGCCCGCCAGCCCGTATGTGTTTAGCTACCAGGCGGGGCGTGCACCAGGTCATGTGGATAGACAGCATACAGAGGTATCCGATGGCTCGGGCGTAATACGCGGCGCCTTCTCCTACGTGGATCCCAAGAATCAAGTGCGCACCGTTCAATACGTCGCCGATGAGAATGGCTTCCATCCGCAGCTGAGTCACCAGCTGGAGGACAGTGCAGCCGTCAAGGCGGCCAAGGAAAGGCACTTCGCTGCTTATAATCGCATTGCGCAAGAGCATGCCAGCCACATACCAGGCCAAGCGGTGAGTACGGCTCAGGGATGGCCCAGAGCGTGTTGTGTTGTATTGCGTTGTGTTGTGTTGTGTTGTGTTGTCTTACATGCATGAATTACAAATGCTTTTCACGAGCTGCGCAAAGCTGGCTGCCAGTCATTGCTGTTGCTTGACGTCGGACGCTGGCAAATAAATTATTTCAATTATTCAGCATGCGCCAATCCCTAGCAATTGTACAAATGTTACAAACTCTTATTTTTATTTCCATTTCCATTCGCTTGCAGCCTGTGGCAGCTGCTCCCCGTGGCAGTGCCGCCGTCATTCATGCCACCCAAAAGCATTTGAACGCATTTGAGCGTATCGCAGCGGAGCACGCAGCTATCGGGGCCCAGCAGGAGGCGCAACGCTTAGCATTGGCAGCCCAGTCGCAGTACAGTGAAATCGACAATGGACAATATCATCCATAAGTTGTGTATTCAAAAAACATTTTTATACCCTGAACCCATTGAAAATGGGAAATCAGGGTATAATGGTTTTGTTAAAATGTATGTAACAGGCAGAAGGAGGCGTGGCAGACCCCACAAAGTATATATATT